AACAACACAAAGAAAAATTATTTGTGAATAAGTATGTGTGCATTGTCAGTCTTGTGGATCTTTCATAGTGTAGTTTATGTAAAGTTTATTGGCAAATTGAATAATTTTTAAATATATGTTGCGTTCATGTTATCAGTTGTGCTATTTTTTTTTTTTTTTTTACATTCTCTGCAGAAAATATAATGTGTATTTCTTTTCCATCTGTGAAAATGTAATAGGTGATAAAAGCCTGGCTCTAAATTTAGATGTGTTTTGATGTCTTAGGCTGTGAATTACACATTCTGTGGTGTATCGAGGTCCCTGTGAGGTGTTTGGTACCACATGGCGTCACTTGATGCTATAGGTTTGTTTTTTTGCGCACTGGACTGGTCTATTCTGCATCTCCCAAAACTGCACATATTTTTTGTGTTGTCTGCGGCTGTATCCCAGAGCAAGCATAATGTCTAATGTCATAGTCACCTGCTCTGATCAGGAGGTATGTGTCTGAGGCAGATGTCTTGAACATGTGGTAGTGTTAAGTTGAATGGAACTTGTTTTGTAGGAAGAACCTATTTGTTATATTAGTTATAGTTATATTTTATCCATTATGCTAAATGGTAATGATTTTTTTCCTTGCATTGATCAATCACAATTTCAGATTTTTCTTTCTTTTTTTTAAGTAAAACATATAAATATGGCTTTTGGTCTTAATTTCCCAAACAAGGCATAGTTTAAATCTTTAAGTGCCATTTCACACCAAATTTTCTGAAGTCAAACAACATGCTTTTACTAACAGTAAGTATTGGCAGTAATTAAAGACTCAAGATGCATGCATTGCATTTTGAGTCGATTAACATTTAGCTACACAGCACTAGTACAGCAGAAGTAGAGAATGTTTTGAAAAAGGAGCAGACAAGGAGAGAAAAAACTAAAATAATAAAAATTTTAAATATTTAGCCACAGATGTAATTTTACTAGTACTGCTAATTATATGTGTCTTCAAAAAAGTCATCTTAATTGACATACAACATACATTTTCATTCATAAAACTTCAAATTTGATCTTTTGTTTTTTTTTAAAGGCTGTTAAAATAATCTGCGGGAGTCCACCAAAGTAAAGTTGTGGGACCCAACATGAAATGCTTATTTATGTGAAGCAGCAGCAGAATGGTTAAATAAACTGGAGCTGTCCACCCCCGTTTGCTTGTTACTGCTTCAGCTCCTGTCTGTCAAAGCTGCACTGCACACTTTAATGTTTTTTCCCCTTGAAAATAAATGTCATTCTTTGAACCAAGGCTTTGATGACAGGGCGTTAGATTCATATTTTTTAAGTGAAGACAGGTTATTTAGTTTTCACCATTTTACATGCCCCTATAATTATAATTATTACAATGCACATGATATACAATTATACCAACACTATTTCATTTAGGAAAATCTAAAGCAACTGCTGTTATTTGCAGTTAGCTTGTTATTCAGCTCAATTAGAGGTAGGCAATATTGATTTAATCATATTTATTTTATTTATTTATTTATTTATTTATTTTTTTTGCATTATCTCCATAACAATATTTAAACAATATTTTAACAATGCATAATGTGTTAAACTGTTCCTCTAAATGTCTTGGTTGAGGTTTCAATATATATTACACAATATTGACATAAACATACCCGAAAACATAGCCGAAGTTGTGTTGTTTCTTTCACACATGTTTGAGTAATCCTTTATTATTAGTTTGTCTACATCTCCACTTTGTGATGTCATGAAGAGGTAATTTTCAAAATAACAGCTAGTGGAGCACTTCCTATATTACCACATGACATCACAAGGTAGAACAGGTGTTTTCTGTTTGAGAGAAGAACTCGGCCTAAAAAGCAAGGTTTGTGTACTAAAAATGTGTGAATAAAACAAAACACAACTCCAGGTATGTTTTTGATGAGAAAATAACATTATAACATGGATCACAAAATAGCATTATATGGGCCCTTCAAGTTTGGTGCAAAAATGTGAATGGATTATAAATCCAGAATGACAGAAATCATTTTTGTGAGACAGACATTTATTTGCATTTTTGAGGTAATTTTGAATAGTTTTAATAACAGACATATACTCACTACTTTATTTTGCATATCTCCAAAAAAAACATTTGAGATATTATCCATTTTTATATACCTTTCTCCTCTACCACTAATCAAAAGTCTTATAAATAAAGGTCACTCAGCCCACTCTGCTCTTGCACCCGGCCTGGATCGGAGACTCACAATCCAGCATTAATTAAACACTCAGACAGTAAAACCTTTGTGCGTTCACTAATGGTGGCTCAGCGTGGATACCCAGATCTCATTTAGGCTACGACTTTGACCGATTTTAGAGCTCTTTAATCATGCTCCTCTTTGAAATTCTGGCCAGGCTAAACTTCTAGAGGTTGGTTAGTACATTTAAATTAAAAAAGTTAAACTAGTAACAAATAGAGGTGGGGGAAATATAGCATTATCACTTTTATTTGAAAAGTGTGTATTGAGTGTATGGTCTAATCAAATATAGAACAGCTGCAAAAAAGCTGTTTAAAACTAAAAAGAAACTTGCTGTGTAATCTTATTAACAAGGGCATAAAGTGCAGTTTCTGCACTTTTGTGATTAATTTTACATTCCATTATGTGTGATACTTGAACCTCAACCAAGACCATATAAGCATTGAACCTCCTATCTGCCAAGTGCTTGCTTCAGGACTCCATACTCACAGTGATCTGTCCAACTCTAGACTTGTAAAATGATAAAACCAAAATTGCTGCATAAATATCACACACACACACACACGCACACACATAGTCGATCATTTTGTTTCAATGCATGGTATTCTATTGTCCATTTTGGAGGATAGGGCTCCTTCTCTCTCTTCATTCTTTACAGTAAAAAAGACATGGAGATTTCAGTATTGTCCATGCTGGCACAACAACAATTTTACAAACTAGAATTACTAAATGCTTTGATCAGTTAAACCAACATTTGTCAGATTGTGGGCAGATTATTGAAACATGGATATTGTAACTGTTGTTCTGCTTGTTGTACACTTCCAAATAAGACATTTCTAATTTTACAGTTTTTAATATTTGTCTGATACTTAATGTGAACTAATGTTTGGACTGGGTGATATGCCAATAAATGTATGTCACAATTTTCTTGGAGCTAGATCACAATTTCGATTTTATGTCACTTTAGTATACTTTACCTTTATATTGCCTTGCAGAAGTAACTGCTTCTTCTGAGAGTCCATGCTTCATTGGAGCTGGTTAAATCCAAAGTCACTCAGGGCATTGCTAAATTTGACCAGTAGGAGGAGTGGGTGGGGAAAGTGTCTGTTTTTGAGTATAGACAATTTTACCAAAAAAAGGAATGAACTCACAATTAGATTTTTATTATATTATTTTATTATTATTATTATTATTATTATTATTATTATTATTATTATTATTTTTTTTTTTTTTTACATTTAAATACATTTTTATTGAAAATTTTTACTGAAGTGACATAATATTATTTGAATATCGTTATGGGGATCTGCCATAAAAATAGACACTCACATCTTTACTGTGTGTGTCAGTTTTGAGCTTGGCCACTCTCTGTGGCTCAACAGGCTGCTGTTGTTTAGCTTTGCCTGTCTCCTGTGTCGGCAGCGTTGTGCATGATGACTATAATGACGCTCTTTACAGCACAAACCCTCAGTCTCCGGCACACACCAAACGCTGAAACAACAGTGCGCTGGTCATTAACCCACAGCATGGCCACTAAGCCTGAGCAACCATTACTGCAGCAGTGTTAAAGGCCTGAGAAAAATGTGTGTGCTGTGAAGTATATACAACGCACCAACCATGACTCAAGGGGGCACTGGGCATTTTCCGCCTGTGTACGGCATTGGCTGATATGTTAATATTGCTAATTGTTTCCTAATTAGATGCGAGTCAGTGAGTCGTATTTTAATGCTCTTCAGGGATCATTACAAAGCAAGAGGAAATTTATCTCTCCTGATGGATGACAGTCAAGTCAGCAGGATTTCCAACAGGAAGACTGCAGTTCAGACGGAGAGATATAGGTAGAAAGGAGCCCCTGTTCGCTGCAGTCGCTTTGCTTAAGCACTCTAATTTCAGCGTGGCACAGAGCTACATCACAAGTTAATCACACATTAATAGCAGCTCTGTGGAGATTTAACATTCACTGACAGCATGGGAATCATCAGCAAATAAGCCTTGAAAAGAGAATGGGGTGATATTCAAAAGTATCCGGGATGCTATTGGTATAATACAAAGGGATTTAAATGGGCACAACTGTAAATGATTGGTAACCTGCTGTTAGATGAGTGGCCAGTCTGGTCCCTGTGGTATTTTATAATATGGACACAGTGTCAGAATGAAATGGAAGGATTGGTTCAGGTTGGATTCATTTCGTGGCTGGCAGGGGTTATATGTGCATCCACAGGAGGGGTAATACTACCCTGCTCTATCTGCAGTATATTATTCATATGCTGCTGGTGTAAGTTGTGTAGCTCAGACTCAATGTGTGCATAGGTAGTACGTTTTGTTTAGAAAGTACTTTCAAAAAGATATTGGTAGCATTCTTGTGTGTCTAGGAGAGGGTTTAGTTTTCACAGGCTCGTGTGTGAAGACAACACTTTAGTTGTAGCAACATATTTGTATCCCAGATTGGTTCTTCTTTTTTGCATTTGCCATCCAAAAAGTGTTGTTTTTTATTTGTTTAAAACAACAACAGGCTTTTCCTGCATCTCTGTTCTCGCTCAAAGTCATTTCACTTGTTTGTATTGTTCTTCCCAGCTGGGCTGAGGTGGCACAGACAAAGGCAGATGCGTGACTGTTTGTTTTGGAAGTGTCACCGTTAAGCCTTGTCTGTGTGTGTGTGTGTGTGTGTGTATATATGTGTATGTGTGTATGTGCGTATGTGTGTTTGTGAAGTTCCCTGTGTTGGGTGTGTTTCATTTGCCCCATGTGTTGTCTGTTTGTGGTCCACAGGTCCTCCTCTGCATTGTTCATCTGCCTCCTCCTCCCCTGTTGAGCACCTCCCATACCCTCCCCCATCCATTGCAGCCAATCAGAGCCAGGGAGGGTTGCTAGGTAACAGTGCGGCTCAGCCAGCCCAGGACTCTGACTCTGAGGATGAGTTTGGCCCCAATTCATTCTTAGTTAAAACTGGCTCAGGAACCCTGTATGCTCCAGCCACTGCAGCTGCTGATGGTGAGTTGCTTTACACTCTACTGTTGCTTTCTGAAGGTTAGCCTTGCTGTTTCTGGACATGTGGTGTAGGTCATGCAGATGGCTGTGAGCAAGAAAATGTGTTTTGCAAGCACCATGATAGAGTTAGAAAGTCAATACTTTGCCTTGGGAGAAACACACCACTCTCTGAAGTAAGGTCTACAAAGTTCAGAGCCTCTCTGTAGAAAGGGGCAGTTCTGGTTTCAACCGAGAGATTTGTTGCACATTTTCTCTGCAGTTTGGTTACATGATAGTGAGAGTAATGATCTAGACAGTTGTTGTAGAAGTTTAAAAACAACTACCTGACAATGTCAGTCACAAATGAAAACAAAGTAACTTCACACTAAATTCATTGTGATCTAGTGAAGTGTTCCTGCTACTTTACATCAAGGCCTTGTTTTAGAACTTACAACACTTCTTCCCCTATATTAGTATTCAGTTTGGGTGGACTTTATAAATATTTTAAATACTTTGATTCAACAGAGTTAATCATAAATACCTGAAAAATACATGTATACCACAGGGTAAGTGTAATTCCAAATTTGTCAGGAATAGCCTAAGGTGGAAAAGGTTTCAAAGGTAGTCATTTTCAAATCATGGCATTTCAAAAACAGTGTCCAGACAATTAACTTTGAATCATATAAACATTACACATACATTCCTCCCTGTATTTTTAGTACTGGACATGAACTCATATTTTGAAGAAAATCTCTTGTGAAATATTTCTTCAAGGTAGCTCAGAGAATAGGTTTATTGCTATGGTTACTGCATGTTCCTTGTACTGCAGTTGCAGTTATACATTCTTGATTAGAATTCATATACATAGAAATGCAAGTCTTGTCATTCACACATCAAGATTTATACCACCCATCTCCCACAGGTCATGAATTTTAATGCAGATTTTTGATATTTTGAATAAGGACATGTTTCAGCTACAGCTGTTACTTGCTTTTCCCATTGGCATGACAAACACAAAACAAGATAAAATGCTCTAAATAATTGTTAGGGCTTACTACAAGTTTACTACCCAGAGGGTTGAATCACATGAAACTCTGAAATGCCACAGCTGCCTGCACAAAAAGCCAGCAGAACATGTTATTAATTCTAGCAAAATCTCATTCTTAATTCCACTGCAGCAACACACTGGTCGCCCGCAGTGACAGGGCCGTGGTGTGGGGGCCCCGACTGGGAGGACGCCCTTTGCCCAGGCAGAATTATCCTACAACAATGACCTCATTTGCATCGGTACAGCAGGCAGGTTTGCCCCGGGCTGTCAGTGAGGGCTACAGAACTTCCTCATGCTTCTGTAATCGTCCTTAAGCTTTTTAGAGATCTCTTTTAAGTCACTGCAAATGTCTGTGCATTTCAGGGTTTATAACATGCTGTCATGACACTTTTCACCTGTACAAGTTGCACCATGGACTTTGCTTTAGAGCCCTGTTTTGTTGTTTGAGCTACTGCTGTGAAGGCTATTTAAATCATAAAGAAAGAGTTGTGCCTGTTGCTTAAACCAGTCAACTGACCCTCCTCTTTACGAACATTTGTTTATTTAAAATCTTGATTTTGAATGTGCAGTTTTTGATTGCTTTGATCATAATTTTATTGGAGGTATTAGTGAATTACATTTTTGGTTCTTTTCAAATACATGCATATATTAATGTCTCTAATAGGGATCTGCTATGCTGGACTAGTAGTGGTGGACACTATAAAAGTAAACGCTGTGAACAGATATTGTGATCAGAAGTAGCGTTTACTCTTTTTTTGAAGGAGGGGGTATAAACCGGGTCTGTTTGGGGCAGATGAAGCTGCTCACTGAAGCCTGCAGTCCTTTGTATGGCATGTGCTTCTCTGTGGCCCTAAGCTTTCTCTGAGGGACTTCTTCCTGGGGAGGCTGCCAGTGGGAGCCTGCTGCCACACTGAGCAGAGAGATCTAAGACACTGCGGCCTACCAGTATTAGCATCTCTTAATGCAAAACAGCAGGGGTCCGACCAGCGCTGGCTTTCAGTGCTGCAGGCTCCCCTCTGAAAGGGCCAGCACAGCAGCACCAGCTCACAGCTGACCAAGCAGGAATGCTGAGCTGTGGTAGAGCTCAGGGACGCGGCGTTTGGAGAATTCAAATAAGTCTTATTTTGAACTGCTTAATCACTGTGAGCGCCCTCCCCCCTGTGGGAAAAGTGGTTAAAGAGGTCACCACACAAAATAATTGAGCCACATACACCATGAAGAATGAAAATGTCCTAGGCTAAATCATAATTTAATGAGCCGCACATGGCACTTGGCATGGCCCTGTTTTTGGGAACATTTGCAACTTCTCTTTGGAGTTGACATATCAAATAAAACTGCCTGTACTCCCTGTTGATGTTTTCAGTGAAGTGGAGCCAACAGACAGTTTGTTCAGTTCCATCCTCCGTGCTGTTCATCAGTGCACAGAGACCATAGATAATGCATTTTGCATACCTACATGACTCTTTTTATACTGACAGAAATGGAGATGCATCACTTTCATTCCATGATAATTGTGGACCATCTGTGCCCTCTAACTACATCGAGCCTCTTGATGGATATGCAGTGCAGTGACATCTATAGCAGAGCAGACATAACCAGTTTTCTACTTCTTACTTAAGCTCACTTAAAACTCGAAGAAGAATGACAGAAAATCCATAATCCATTCGATTTTTCTAAGGAACAAAAGACAAGTGTGGCCACTGTTATGTAGGTATAGTCATATAATAATTGCCGTAATGGCCAAAAGGCCATGTTGGGGCAATTTATGTCGTGTTATATATAAGTCTCTGACCTTCACAAAATTATTAGGATTGTTAGGAGTCTCTCCATATCTAACCTGCACTGTAAAATATATTGTCCAGAGAATATTCATTTATGATAGGAAATTTTTATGTAATGTGAATGTACCAAACAAAACAAAGATTGTTTATGTAGTTATTGCAGAGATGTTGTAGCCACATTACTCAAGCTTATTTGCTAAATATGTGTGACAGTCCTGACGTCTGGTTAGTAATGAGGGTGAGCTTGTCTTCACATCCACAGAAGGTGTACATCCCTTATTCCCACAGTGAGCAGTAGTGAGAGGCGCGCATTAGACCCACCATGTGTTGTTTGCCGTACCTGTTACCTCTCAAATAAGTCCTGGACAGACAGGCTGTATTCCCGCCTGGCTCTTCCCTTCAGACTGCTCTAATGGTGTAGGAAACTGCAGCAGCACACAGCACCTTCTGGGAGACAGTGCAGCTTCACTGCCTTCATGACAAATTCTATTTGTATTTTTATAGACAAATGCTACTCAACTGGAAATTTTGCTCCTATGATTAGCCATAGGGGCTGCAGCAGTAAGCAAGATCTAATGATTTATCTGACACGGGATGGCTTTTGATTAATTCAGTATGGAGTGGCTCACACCTCAGTGCTTCTCACGGGTGTCCAGGGCATGTCATACTACTTTATTTCATTGTGACCGTCACTGTGGCCCATTTTATCCTCTGTCCTTGTTCAGAAAAAAACACCTTTTCCCTTGGCACTGCCCTGGCTCCAGCTCAAAAGAATTCTATAAATGAGCTAGAGGAAAGGTCTAGGGTGAGGGGAAGACCATTTCAAAACCAAGATTTATTATTGTGTCAAATCAATCGATTTCTCCATTCCACATTCTGCATGTAACCCAAAGATCAGTCACCAATCATCAGAAATAATTAATACATATTTTCTACATCAAAACATGTTTACACTCTTATACTAATATATTTATTTTTAAATCTATTACGTTTCTCCACCTATGATGTAGTACCTATCCTTAAAGGTTGAGCAGTTGTCTCTAAGCAATTAGAAGAAGCCCAGTGAGACAGACATTTGCGGTATCTGTCGGGGCGCAGGGTGAAGTCCTACCTAATGAAGTGGATTTGCCTTAATTACTTGTCTGGAAAAGCGTCAGGAGGCCTTAACCAATGAGTGCACATTGTTAGAAAGAAAAATGAAGAACTCACATTCCCAGACTTAATGGATATCTTTCGCCTTCTGTTGTGAAAGTTTGCCATTGTAGTACAACCTCCTCGCTCTGTCCCTATGATAACAAATGAATCTCCCTTTCTTACCAGTTTTCCTTGTGCAAAGCAGGTCAATAGAGGACCATTTATTTTTTCTGTCCTTTAGACGATAGAATGATTGGTGCTGAATCGCCACATCTGTGGGGGTCATCTCAAACTGTGCTTTCTCTCATAAGGTGTTGTGTTTCTTGGCTTGTTGGGTTTTGGCCTGGATCAAGGCTGTATTCTATGCACTTGTAGAGGCAAAAGTCTTTATAAGGTGTTATGTATGCTTTAGTGTACATTGCTTTGGAAATGAAAAAATATTTGTGCTTTGTGTTGCATTTTTTGTTTGGAAAGCGCTCTATAAATAAAGTTTGATTGAGTGTTTGATTGTTATAATGTGAGGAGAATAGATGATGTCTGGTTTGTGTATGTGTAAGATAAAAGGAAACACTGAGCAATGAGTATAATACATACATTAGAGCACATTTTTTTTATGGAGGAGAGTACACCACCTGCTTGTCTCTATTGAAATGTTAATGTATTTCCTGCAGTGTTCCACAGTATGGCATTAAATGTATCTATCTCTGTGGAGACAAGGATTTGGTGACACCTGATCTGTTCTGTGGAGAGGCAACTCTGCTCAGAATGAATGAATGATTTTTTAATTTTTTTTTTTTTTTTAGCAATAATGATGCCATGCTGAGGAACATTCAAAGCAAAACAGTAACATCATATGGGAGAAAAGAAGGTGGATTATACTTAGACAAACTTTATTGAATTATTGGAAATATTTTGGACACAGTAGCCCACACATTCCAATATGATATAATAACAAAGAGCAGCATAAGTGATAATAATAAATTCAATAATATAAGTAGCAAAAATAGCAAGGGTCCCGCGTCAGATAAGGTATAATTATAATAATTGTATATCTGCAAGCAAAAATAAAATATAGAAATATAGTAATATGAAATACATCATGGCTACATACAAGATATATGTCGTCTTACTATATATTTTACTATATATTACACAGTCCACCTTTAATTATTGTTAACTATATTTGGTATTTTAAATAAACGACTCTCTTATTCAGCAATATACTAGCTTATCAGGGTTATGTGGAGTGGCATCTACTTTCTCTAAACACCTTGTAATGTTATTACAGTTCTTATTGCATTACATTTGCCTTACACAAACTACCCACAAAGTAAATGAAAAATAGCTTGTAGTGAAATAACTGTATGATATCCTTGACTCACTGTCCTATGATAAATTTGCATGTGCTGTCCGTGCATTGCATTAGCATAACCTCATTAATGGCCGTGGGGATCAGGTATATTAGTGAACAGCAGGGAGGTCATCAACTACTCTGTGTGGCTTCTTCTTTCGCCAGTCTATTGTTCCCTGGGACTGTGGCTCTCTCTCACATTGTCTACACTAAATACCAGCCCGGCTTTATTCCGAATTTAGAGCCATCTGTCTGTGTGCCTGCCACCATGATAGATTTCCCAATAACTGGAATAACTGGGTATAAAATTACTCCAAAGCTATAAACTTTGCTATGTGCACAAACTGGCAAGAGAACAGACGGGATCAGAGCCAGGTCATGGTTGGAATTAGTGACTGTATTATGTCTTTTTAATGGGATGAAACTCTACATAGTGAAGTGAGTGCGTGCCTCTTGTCAAGTACAGATTTGGGCGACTGGGAAGACAGCTCCTTCAGCAGGTGTTTAAGGATTAGATGCTCCGCACTTGATTTCTGTTGTCTTGTCTTCCCTGAGCCATTTGTCAGCACTCGGCTATGAACTGGAGCTGATGTAATTCCACTAAGCAAATCTATTATTCAACTAAATAGATTTCAAGCCTTTTCCTAAATAGCCCTTGTGCCTAAACAACACTTTATTGCTAATGTGATTGCCGTATGTTTCTCGGGCGACTTTGTGAACATTTTAAAACCCTCAAATGACCGCGAGCTGGCTGATTTGTGCGAGTAGGTATTGCTTTAATGAAGGAGCTGATTATAAAAAATAAGCCTGTGTGTTTGTGTTCCCCCGCTTGTGGCCGTAAATTGGCAATTTAGCCTAGTGGATATGTGTGAAATAAAGGAGGCTTACTGCTGTACGGAGCTGCCTTGCCCTCACTCAGTGTAAATCCACAAGTTCATTGATTGATGAATGGCTTGCCACATGTGGAACCAAATGGATACAAGTCTGTGAAAGGCGCTGGCTGTAACTCTTGTGAGGCAGTAGAATCAAATGACGGGCACAAAACCGCTGGTCACATTGTGTTCTTGTAGGATTCAACTTTTTTGATGATAAAATACAATGTAGCTAATTCATCCCTCCGTTGTGTCTCTGAAGGGCCAATTTTGACAAACATTTTTGTTACGACACCCATTCTGCTTTGAAATCAACTAAAGTAATTACAAACACTGAATTGCTAAGTCTTAGCAGCTTGTGAAGTAACTGGTTGTTCCACTCCTCTAATTTACATACAAACAATTCTGGATTGGCAGAGGGCCTATTTATCCTGCTGATTTTGGACTCAATAACACGATTAAATTACTTTTATTGTATTAAAGTATTTTCTGGGTGTAATTCTTGCTAAAACAATTTTTGGTAAAGTTTCCTCAATTTGTACTGTCGTAAAAGCTTTATCACCATAACATTAATGGTCAGCCGATATTTCAAACTGTTGATCTCTTATCAGTCTTACTTTTCTATATAAATTCATGTTTTTAAAGATAAGTTCAAATCCAACAAAATTACTGAGTGCTTTCCTTTTGTGGTAGACAGGCTGGTATCCATTGACATAGGTCATGATCTGGTCTGCACAAACTGACAGTGGTCTTTTTGGGAGGCAGACGGCACATTCAAACAGAGACAGAAATAATGAGTCTTTTTCTTAATGAAAATGGTACATGCAGTGCTTTACTGAGCTTAGTTTAAGACTTTTGTTTTACTGCTAATTGCTAAGCTTCTGGTACAACTTTGAGTAATTATCTTCAAATGAGAACAGTTTAGCTGTAGTAAGAGCTAAATTGATTTGGCTAGAACTTAAATTTGTTTCTTTCATGTTTTTCCCCAAAGTAACAAATAATTAAAGCTTCACAGGGCAAATCATTTGTTCCTTTCCTTTTCCAGACGGCGCTTTCCAAAACCACTCCCGGCTGCGGACGCCCCCTCTGCCACTGTCCCACTCCCACTCACCCAATCACCAGCACCATGCGCCCTCCATTAACTCCTTAAATAGGGGCAACTACACCCCCAGGAGCAATCCCAGCCCCGCCCCCACCGACAGCTCCGCCCCACCCGAGGGACCAACCAGTGGGCAGGACTCGGGCAGCGCACAAGACAACTGGCTCCTCAACAGCAACATCCCACTAGAAACAAGGTACCAGTTATTCATCATACCATACTGTATGTGATGTAATGTTGACTGGGGTTGTGCCATCCAGTGTCTTTTTTATGTACCCTGTTCTGTATTAAATTACGGCCGTGCTAACAAGAAGCAAAGCAATAAAATAGGAGATGTTCAGGGCAAAGGCCTACATTTGTGATGAACATGACTTTTGGCAAACAACAGAAAAGTGCTGCTTATTGGATCTTGCTCAAATCCCTTCAGCTCAAAAAGTCAGAGCACTATGAGCAGATAAGTAATAATAATCAGGTTAGGTACCTCTCACCAATTTACTCCAGGCTTTGGCCAGCTTTGTGCTTCATCATCTTTGGCCAGATTTTAAAAAAATTATTTCCTGCAAACCAAGCGAAAAACATTACATTTTATTTTACTTACGATGATTTTAAAATAGAATGTAGCTTTTAAGGTAATAGGACAATAGCTGATGTTTTATCAAGCTATAGCCAAACAAAAATGTGCACTGTAGTTCTCTAGTTTTTGAAACAGATCATTCAACAGGAAAATGAGCATCAGTGTGGTGGGTAGAAGGACAGTTAGTACGATAATGAATGATTATGCATCATGAAGCTTCAAAATGAATCGGGCTCAGGAATTCCCTCAGGTACAGAAACAGATGGTGAGGAGAGTGAATCTGCAACAGGCTTTGAGCAGCAGTAACCACACGTGTAGTCCCTACGACCTCTGGCCTCCAAAAAGCGCCAACTGCTGGATAAGCCATAATGAAACTGCAAGCATTAGTATTCAGAGAAGGACTGAAATATTAAGCGTCACTTTCACTTAGTTTAGAGTGTTCCAAAGGGGCTCATCACTCCTATGAAATGAAACAGACATGATACATTTTGCAGTGGTTATTCAGATATTTTCAGTTTTATGTCTGGAGACGTGCCAGCAGTTGGTTGGCTCAAATCGGCCTTGCCATTTTCTTGTGAGCGTCTGCCAGGCAGCTCTCTCTTCATTAAAAGTTGCGTTCTCTCATACAAAACAAGCTTTAGGGACTGTGAGCAGACTTCAGCTCTGGCCTCGAAGGAGCAAGGATCAAAACCAGACTTTTCTCTTGTTCCACTGTTGCTGTTCAGCTGCCCATGCCTGCATGTGGACAGTTCATTTCTCCATTACATTGCTGCCGTGTTTCCTTATGGAACAGAGCTCTCTCCTGGGGGTCTATTACAGGAGAAATGAGGCGTGTGCCCTGGCCTGAAATTGGATAGAAAATGTGTTTTGAAATTGTTTTATCCATTAAGTAAAAAGCAAAATTGTATACAGTGTAGTATGTACAAGTACAATACTTTTTTTTTTTTTTTTTTTTTTTAGATCAGAGTAAAGTATCATCAAAGTTTTATAAAGTTGATGTTTCTACATGAAGTGATTCATTTTTTTCTTCCAATCACAATCCTAAAGGAGCCAGAACACTCTAATGTTTATCAGAGAGGAGCAGGACGGTTGCAGAGAAGGGCAGGGCTCGTACAAAACAAGGTACGGCGCTGCGCTGGGGAGGGACAGACCAGAACGCAAGCTTCTTTGTTCTTCAGTAGCAGTAGTTCCATAAGGCCCTTGGTTTCTTTGTCACATGCTCAAACTTCATTTGTCACTTCCTGTTGTCGATGTTGCTTTGTGATCACAAACTGTAATGGCCTATCTGTGTTTTTTCCACGCACGTCTCACTTTTCACGCTTCATCTCCATCTTTCCACTTGTGTGTAGAAACATAGCAAAGCAGTCATTCCTAGAGAGTTTACAGGACAACCTGATTGAGATGGACATTCTGGCCACAGCTCGCCACGATGCCCCATACAGCGACGGGTATGTTGCATGTTTGCCCTCTGGCTCTCTCTCTGCTTTGCCATGAACGCATTTATGATGCTTACTTTATGTTGTCATCATATTCCTACTATGTTATGCTTTCAGTAATAACTTTGTGTTGTTTAATCTTTCGTTTCTTTTGTTTAATACAACTAACGTTTTTCTTGTTAACTTCACCATGTTCAGTTATATTAATATTGAATGTATCAGACATCTATGTGCATACTGATGAATATAATGTTTCAGAACACATTGCAACACTTTATACAACACCACCTTCATGTCCCTGTTCCCTTGTAAGTCAGTGCAGCTGTTCTGACTGTAACACGCTGATCATATGGCTCTACAGTACTACACACTTTATGGGATAGGCCACCATGTTTTCAAGGGCGAATAAGCTGCTAAACCACGTCATTGCAGCCTGTATATATTCCAGGGACAGCCTTGGAGCTGACACATAGTTACCACAGCTAACCATGCTAGCATGAATACATAAACAACAGTCATCTGGGCCCACAGCTCTTCTGATACAGATTTAATATTGATCGCTGTATGGTCTAAGAAAGCCCACACTGCACTGTTAAATAATGCAGTTCAAATACCACTACAGTCGTTGTGTTCAAGAGAACTTCCACAGTAGTGCTATAGGTAAACTGCACTGTATGGGGAATTGATAGCATGCATAATGAACAATGTAAGGCTTCAGGCAGAGGCATATTTTTGAATAACATGTTTTAAGCATGGTTCTCTATAACAGTGGAAGCATACCTACTCTATCTGCTAGTTTATCACTTTCTTTAATAAAATCCTTTATGAAACTCCATTGGAACATTTAAACTGGGTTACAGAATTATAGTGCCAGGGACTTCCCAACAGCATGTTTATTTCATTCTTATATGAAATGAATCACTACCTGCTTTTTTTCTAGGCACTTCTTGTTCAAGCCAGGTGGAACATCACCAATGTATTGCACAACCTCCCCGGGATACCCTTTGACCTCCAACACAGTGTACTCACCTCCTCCTCGACCCCTCCCCAGAAACACATTCTCACGGCCTGCCTTCAGCCTGAAAAAGCCGTACAAGCACTGCAACTGGAAATGTGCTGCTCTCAGTGCCATCCTCATCTCAGTCACTCTGCTGTTCCTCTTGGCTTATTTTATTGGTAAGTCCAAAACTACTACTCTCTGCTCTCTATGTATACATCTTATCTGCTCAAAATACCCCCGTATTATAACACATAAAGCAGTGATTCTTAACCATAGGGCCGAGATCCAAAGTAGGGTCGGAACCACCTTCTTTGGGGCCCCACAATCAGTACAATATAATGCATTTAATATGAAATAGGGCCCAAGGTTACTTAGTTCAGAAAAAGTTGGGCCCCGAGATTGAAAAGGTTAAGAACCCCTGACATAGAGGATTGCCCACCCTATGCTGTGTCCAGGATCAACATTGGTCAAATCAGAGAGATTCCACACATATTGATTGTTTTTTAAGCTGCTCAATTCTCCATTGCCTTATGTTATACAAAAAGAGTAATAAGTAACATTGGATAAAATAGAGCAATTACAGTAGACTTAAAATGTAGCTGTATGTTTAAACAATGCAACAAATGATTTAATATCCCAGTACAAAAGTGAAAAGATTAATGAACTTTTGTATAACTTGACATGAATTTGTAACCTATGGATTGCTATGGATTTTAATCTTAATATCGGTATCAACAGCTATCTATTATCGGCACCGACAACAAGACAAATATTGACAAAAATCCACATGGGAAAATTCCTTTATTTAATTGTATTGAATGTGCCCTTCCTATTTGCATGACTTACTGTATATAGGGATTCACAGATTGACTCCTCGCCTACACACCTCATCTGAAATAACATTATCATTCTTAGATTGGGTCGAGTGAATCTGCAGATGGGTACGCCACTTTCTTGCTCTTGTGAATAGGTCAGATATGGAATGAATTAAAAAGACATCAGCCATCACACAAGAGAGACTCCACATGTAGAATTTTTTTTTTTTTTTTTTCTGATAGACGATTTCCTAACCAGCACAGCCAGGTCCCAGCTGGCCAGCGATTATGGACTGTGATATCTTTGCAGCAATGACATTAAATTAGTCCTGCTCTTTTTGACTGCTGTCATTTCCCCAGAGACGATATTCAAATTTGATAATGCAGCATCTTGTTTATCTGCAAAATCTTCAAATATGGTCTGTGGTTTATAACGCTTTAGCAGCAAGAGCTCTGCAGTTGTTTAAGTTCACAGATTGTTGTAAAATACCAGATTTACCTGAACATGTTTGTAAAGGTATCAACTACAGAGTTAGCAGGGTTTTTTACACAATAAGCCAGGATATTTTGTTTTAAGGAGGCATTATGTTATTTAAATAATTGCAGCCTTTCTGATTTAATAATTGCTGCTGCTATTTTGGTTTGATTGCAATTTATTTTTCAGTCACAGTTTTTGTCATTTTGGGATAATAGCATATAATACTTTGTAGGTAAATTAGTATGTATTGCTAAGCCTGTCACATAGAAATGTTGTGATAAAAAGATAATATTTAAACTACTTAATGCCACTGACACAAAGGAGATAATTCCAGTAAACCATTTTTTAAATCTATTTTATCATTGAAAGGCTTGAGCTGCAACAAATAAATAGCAGAAGGAACCAATAATAAATAGGTATTACATAGGTATTTATTCTACCCTCTACGACTCAAATCTTACCATATTACTGAAAAATAGCAAAAATTTTCCAACTATTGAAAAGAAATTGTACACATGATAAATACTCAGCTTGAAAATATGTTGTTCCAGCTTTCATATATTGAGTTGATATAGTAATTATCTTAACAGAAGTATGTATAGTATACTTTGTAGTGAAAACATAGTAACTGCTGAAAGTAGTCTTGATAGATATGAAGTTTGTGTCACCTCTTTGTGACCAGGTCAACCTTCAGTGAGCCCCAGCCGTTTGATGGCTCTTCATCAACCACGGCAATTACCAGACTGTAAATCTCAGAACATCTTCCAGTGCACCAGGAGCAAACATGCTGGAGACCAACCCTCACCCAGAGCAAGGCTTCCAATCAAGAACAAGGACCGTATTTAATTAAACGCTGATGAGAAAATATATCTAATTCCGAGTGCTATTAATTATTGAGGTCTGTAATTGGTGACTCTGGGTGAGATGTCTAATGAACCCAATTATGGTTCCTGACAGATGTTGGTGGTCTGGCTGCATTTTGTCACAGATTTTAAAAAATAGGCACAAGTTCACAAAGCTCAAAGTGAGGTTTTCCTCTGGGTATGTCTTTCTAATAGTTGCTGTTTTAATTGGATATGATTTTTCCTTTTCTAAATTGTGGATGTATTTTTAACTATAGAGCTATAAAAAATAAAATAAAAGCTACAATAAACTTAATACAAAAACACTTTGCTTTAATGCTATAGCCAAGAGAGGGAATTTCTGATAAAGGTAATTTACTGCTCGGTAGGAGATATTCTTATATAATCACGAATCATAAATTTCCCTGCTAGTATCTTTTATAACAATGGTGAGTCATGCTCATTTGACAGCATAAACCATATTCCATGCACATTTTCTCACCCACCAAAATGGTTAAAACAGTTATTCACATTTTAGTTTGAGGATATTTTGTCTGTCAAACATCTCTTTAACCAAAACATTAATTAGAAATTCAATTGGTGTTGGTGAAAAATGTAGAAATGTCAAACCCACACAATACAAATACCCCCTCCAACTAAATGCATCACATTAGTCTGCAGTGTGATTTTCTCTTTTCGGCTTTTAGTTTTCAAACTAAAATCTATTTAAAACCAAGAGACAGGTGAACAAATGTTAAGATGCAGATGATATACATGCTCCATTTGATGTTCCCGTCAGCCTGTGAGTGATGCTGTTTTGTTGGAGAGCCGGGCGATTTTCCAGGAGAGTGCAAATTAAAATGGCCCTCTACATAATATTACTGTAAGAGGTGATTTATGCTATGGAGTGTTACAGAAAGAGAGTGGATGTAGTTAAGTGAGGAATGATCAACGGATAGCTGCCGCATTTAACACTTCATTGTTCAAGTGTTTTCAAAGAGATTAATTGGAGGGGGTTAGCAATTTTAGGCCATGGCCTACTGTTTTTGGAAACGCCATATGATTTATTGCCTTTTTAGATGGTTTCTTGTTTTTTTAAAAAGGAGATTCATTACAGTTACCCTTGAAATGTGCATTAGTGAAAAAGTGCTCTCTACATCTCAGGATGGAAGCACAGAAATGCTGGCAAGTGACCCACAGCCATAAGCAGGGCTCTGAGATTGGCTGAGAAGACTTCTACTCTACCTCTGTTCCCTAATTGGCACATAGCGTGACCCAACTTCCTGCCAAGAGTCTAACGAAAGGAGGGCACAACATACGCTCTTGGACAAAATGGGCAGTGGTTGCAAGTGTTCTAGTCTTGACAGGTCAGTGGCATCAGTGGAACTCAGACGCAGCTTGTCTCTGCCAGTGGCCATCTCATTAGGGCTACCTTGTTATTCCTACAAGCTGTCTACATTTTTAGCCAATTTCAGCAGTGTCATTGTAACTGTTTGCAAAGTTTAAGGAGCAAGAAAACAAGCAAATAGCAAGGCTCTCGACTGGCTCGGGTCCAGTGCTCTGCGTATCACATTTACCAAGAAGGGGCTTGAGTACGTCTTTGGGGAAAGGATGGAGTAGGCTCTCTAGCATTTTTCCATTAGAGGCCTGAGGGACGGTGGGGATGAAAAACAGGGCGCACAAAGACGTGATTATAGGACACTTGGAATGACACCCGCCTGGTGACTTTGCAGCGGTCCTGCCAGAAACATATACTGACTGCTTTCCATTTAGCTAGTCTATTTTACAACACAAATCATAGATAATGGCTTCTGGAACTTACGAACTGACAAACAAAACCATTTATCTCCCCACACGGTGCGTCATAGACATAATGACATCCAAAGGGACTGGACAGACATTTTTCTGATGATGAAGTTGTTGCTTATCTATGCCTTTCAAAAGTCTAACCCAGAATACAAAGGCAATGCAAATGGAACAACCAGTGCCTTGCTTTGTGTGTGTCCTAGTATCCAGCTCTGGTTTGATCTGCTACTTGTCTTATTCATGTGGCATATTCAACCAATTTAGAGTCCATAACTGGGCCTTGGTAAGAACACTGCATACTGGAGAGGTCCGTGTTGAATTTAAAGTAGAGAGATTTATTATGATGGCCTCAGCTCAGTGCAGCACATTATTGTCTCAAGTTTGATTTTTATATTAATTAAGCACATTTCAAATGGTTAATTGAGGTAGTTTAAAATGACAGCTTGAAAATGTACAAAGATTTATGTGCAATTTAAAGAAATATATCGGGCCTTAATCATTAAAACTGAAGGGAACATTTGACACACCAGGAAAATCTTTTTTTCACTCTGCAGTCCAACTGAATTAATGGTCCAAATGTCTTTAGAGCCTAACTTTTATGGAACCTAAAAATATCCTTCAAATGAGTCCAAGAATCTCATTTGTCAGAGTAGCACCAAGTATTCAAAAAGAAAACTTTTTTAAAATGTCACTTAATGTTATAATTCAGTAAAAGTTAACATCTGGGTTAGCAAAAGATCAAGGTACAACTTGTATTCTTGATTCTAAAAGCACTGTATGCAAGTACAAGGACTTCTAGATTGAAACATTTGAATCACTCACCTGGCTTCTTACCAATCCTAATTGAATTGTGTTGTTGGTATTTATTTGAGTAGCTAAGAGAAGCAGCAAACCAATAAAATAGCTCTATTGAGTTTCTGGGTTTTCTGCTGACTGTTGACTTCGGAGGTGGCTTTTGCCTTGCTAAGCTCGTCTTGTCCATTCTCTTATTGGTGATCTGTCATGCTCTGCCCCTCCTCCTGCGGCCTGCACTTGGTTGCAATTGTTCCAGAGGACATTTCTTTTGTCGACCTTGTAAAATATCAGCATGTTTCAGCCACGGTGTTCACATTGAAACCGCCCTATGGTGTCTCTCTGGTAATGTGTCTCCCCTTTGTCCTCTAGTTTTGCACAGGCCTGGTAAGGTAATGGGGCTGGAGGAATGACGAGGCACCAGGGATAGACCTTGCCACTGTGTAGAGACAGATGTTGTCCTGTGGGGTCAGCATCACATTCATCACCAGATCGCACTACTCAGCACTTTCTCAAAGTGTCATTAACCATTAAACTTAGCACTGTTTAGCACTGGCTTCCTGTTTCGCCATCTTACAGCTTTATAAAGTTATAAACTCTCTTAGCCCTGCAACTGCTCAGCTTTTTGATGTGCGTGTAGGCTGGAACAACAGTGGTATGACCAGTTTTCTGGAGAAACAAGATAAAGAGAGTACTCTGAGTAAACTGTGCATGCCATGTAAGCATACCGATTAACCACAGAAGTAGGACCAGTGGTTATTTGTAAAATTAATAAAATTTCACTTGACCCATATATTATTGTGTAATAAATGTTTGAACTATTTTATTGTGTGTTTAGTGCGTTGCTATTAATATTTAATATAACCTTAACCTTTTGAATCGAATTTTTTAAATATTCACATTTATGGAATATTTTACAATATAAATCTGATATATAGGGCTTTACCCTTGACTAAACTGTGTTGGTTCCTTTTTTGTTGTCCTTTTAGCCATGCACCTTTTTGGGTTGAACTGGCACTTACAGCCAACACAGCGACAGTTGTACCAGCTTTCAGAAGACAATACAAGTGGCCTACCCTTCCCCACAGACCTGAGCCTCTCACCGCAGGGCAACACAGGCCTGGAAATCAAAGGAAAAGATGACAGTAAGTATCGGATTACTACTGAAGGCATGATCTTGTTTTTTTCTTGAGATAGCCAAATGAATCTCAAGGCACGTGTGCAAAAAGTTTTTGTAATCTTTAATTTACTGATGACATTTTAAGAGCTCTAGTGTGCCTGGTATTTCTATTATGTGTGAGTTTGATGTTTGGCAGTCTACACAGTGTATGCACACAGATCTGCATTGTAATCCCATAAAAGTTGTTGTAAGTGGGAAAGTGTTATTTGTTCCTGGAGGGAGAAAATGGGAAGGCTTAGGGGACTGCAGGCGGATTAGCCCCTCCGTCCCCCTTAGAAACCCATGTGAGCCTTTCATCTCAGAGCTCCGGCCGCTACTCCTGCCAGCTCCCCCCTCAGTACCATCCGGAAAGTTTGCCGTGCCCTATTCGTGCACAAATGTGCTCAGATTTAGCCCTGTGATTTGCCACTGGCACACTACAAAAGGTAGAAAATGGGAGTATTACCATATAGATGAATCCAGAAGTTGTCTTTTCCATTTACCAGACAGCCCAAAGTGTGTTTAGCTAACAACAAGCATGAATACAGCTGAGCTTAGTGCACCCATGCCTGCCTGCTACTGCTGATAGAAAATCAATAGCCACAGATTTCTAAATAAGTTTCCTTTGTGCTGTTATGTCAAAAGCAAACATTGATTTATCTAAACTAAAGGTTATAAAGGCGATGATGACACAACATGACCTATTTATACAACAGCTTTAAACCTTTCTGGTTGAGGACACACCAAATGCATGTCTCCATAGAGACATATTTACATTATTAATTTGTCTGAAAAGTTTCACAGTAGGCCATTCAACTTGTCTCCTTAATGTCTATAGTACTGCCATTTTTGTATTGCTATATACCATCAAAAATACTCATTCTACATTAAGTGGGGTCGCCTCTCCACAGATCTGGACTAAGATACAGCTAATGCTTGTGTTCATGGAGATAAATAATTTCAATTCCTCTTCTGTTTTTTTTTGTTTTTTTTTTGTGATATGATTTTAAAGAAGTAATCTTATCACATATATTATAAATTAACATAAAAGTGTGCATGGATCCAAACAGTATTATCCAAGGCCAAACTTGTCTGCACTGATAAAATGTAATATTTTTGATGGACTCTGGTGAAGGCCGCCATCTGCCTCGCCACATTTAACCTAAAGCTGTGTCTGTCACTATGTCCTGGGGAGAGTTGCTATGGCGCTTTTGCAGCCATCTTGACAGAAATTAGCTCATCTACATGGGCCAGCAGATGTTACTATTTCCACTGAGTCTAATGTAAGATATATTATATAGATCCCAAGACTGATATTTTCAAGTGTTTTAATCTAACCACGGGAGGCATGAACTAGTGTAATTTTGTGACATCTGGCCGTAAACCTATTTCTAATTTACACACATATTCCTGCTTGATTCGCTCTACCCAACCCTGTAAGTGAAATGAAAGAAGTGCTGTAATAGCTTTTATTACTTTTATTTAGTAATTATAATTGTCTTTCAGGAAATGTTTGATTACATTGATTCAGTTTAAACCAACTTAAACATTTATTTGACTTGAAAATGTATTGTGATTATTTTTGAGAGCAGATTATACCTACACTGTTTTTATTTTTATCTGTTATCACCTATAGGTCTACAATCGGGGGCAGTGGGCACAGAGGTCATTCATTATATTTTTCTTCTGCCTGTCAGCAGTGTGATTGAATATCTGTGATGTGTTCAGACTATCATGCTTCAGCAGACTCACTCACTCCGGTCTGCTCATGCTGGATTAATGGTGTGATCTCTTTGACCGATTTACTCTGTGTGCAATGCAGGCAAATTGGACAGCTTGTTCCCAGATGACAGCTATATAGATATGGGTGAGATTGACATTGGGCGCAAGGTCGCACAGCAGATTCCTCCTGGTATCTTCTGGAGGTCCCAGGTCTTCATTGATCATCCCATGTACCTGAAGTTCAACGTGTCCTTAAGCAAAGATGCCTTAGTCGGAATCTATGGAAGAAGAGGACTACCTCCATCACACACACAGGTAGAACCCATTTTCATTAGTTTAAAGTTTTATTCTGTAATATTTACTTTAATGAAGAATAGTCATTTTGCTGTTGTTAATGAAAATTCATTCATACTTTCATTTTAACAAAGTTTTTCACTTAAGATATTGAAGCCAAGAAATTATCACAGTTCATCCAAGTGCCAAGACTTACTCCAGCTCCTCTGGAATGATGAGTTATTCATGCTGACCAAATGATGCAGGCTATAAAGAGAGCTGAAAGCACTCGAGGCTCGTGTGTCGCCCTAATAGTGTGTCTGCGGTCCAATCTGCCAGGCCCCTCACGCTGTCTGTCTGTCTGTCTGCAGTTTGACTTTGTGGAACTACTGGATGGGCGAAGGCTTCTGGTGCAGGACACCCATGGCCTGGAGGGCCCCGTGGCCCTGCAGAGGAGCCTGGTTCCCATTACCACTCACGACACAGGCTTTATCCAGTACTTGGACACAGGCATCTGGCACCTGGCCATCTACAACGATGGAAAAGAAACAGAGACGGTCTCCTTCCTCACCACTGCTATAGGTGAGTGCCCTGGGCGTGACCTGCCCACAAAACGTGTAATAGTAATCCACCTAATCCCTGTAATAGCAGGCAGCGCCACTTTACAGCAACAGTGCAGACCAGAACATGAGTCAGACACAATTTTGGGCAGATTTCAATAGCTGAGAAAAGTGTGGGTTAATCAAGGTGAAGTTGAATATTACAAAAAATCAGGACATCAGTGCTATCCTGCCATGCCCCTGAGTAGGGCATTGAGAGATCATAATATCCTCATTAGCCTGAGTGTCTTCTGAGCAAATCAGGGGTCCAGCTTCTGGGATCCATTTGCATACAATTCAAAGGATGATTGTACCCTTCTGCTAGTGCCATTTTTGATCACGGTTTGTTCCAATTTCCATCTGTTTTCCATATATCAAAGTGGAGGTGATATTTCTTGTCCCTGACAAATTCCAGTGAGGCATATGTCTCTGTTTCCAACTTGTGTCCTTCCTAATGAACGTCATTTCATTTTGTACACTCCTCTTTGTTCTCTCATAAACGTCTTTGATTAGCGCCGCTGTATCACACGAGGTGTGAGAGGGCCTGAGGTGTCGGCTTTCGCGGGGATGGCAGCTGGGAGCTGTTCTCACATGCTCTTTAATTAAAAGCTCCTGGGCCAGAGTCCATCTGTGACAGGGTTGTGCCAGGCAGCAGATCGATGAGGAGCTGTCCTCAACACCAGCGCTACACCGAGAGGAGACAGACAGGAGATGCACTATGGCCCCTGCTGTGCCAACAACTGCTGTAATTTAATTCCTAATATACAATATGACACGAGGAGAGGGAGTGCGGCCAGAGTGCGGGCAGCCTGTTTACGTGAGCATACTTCCTACTAGGTGTAGATGGAGGCCTCATGTGGTTTGAAACAGTTGAAGATAAAGTGCTGGATGGGGCTGGACAGTGTTAGTCAGAGCATTCTGCCTCTGTTCATTTGTATCAGAGCTGATCTGCCCACAGCAGCTCAGAGGGAGGCACTGGGGCCCTTTCCAAAATGGGTCATCGGTTAAGTGCCCTTCAGCAGAAATTGAATCTCACCTCCTGCCTGAATTGTATTGAGCCATGGTAGAGACAGCATTGACCTTCAAATGGAACAGTCTACATGTACTCATGTGGGGGATTTCCATAATGACCACTATAAGACAATGTAGTAAAATAACTCCTTTGCTAAATAAACTGATTGATCTTCATTTCCCTTTAAACTAACTAAATAAAATGGTATCTTTGTATTGTTTTTTACTATTTTTATGATTTCACCACATACACTGTAATATTGCCAACCTCATTACATAACCCCATGGCAGTATATTATTGTGTGTATATTTACAGTATTTGGACTTTAAAGCAATTTATCACTGTTTCCTGGAGCCAGACATGCTTGAACCCAGATATGGCTTTATGTGGGGACTCTGTCTTATTCTATAACAGACCTCATTCTGTAGGACTCTCCATACACACAAGTAGCCATCATTCATAGGTACTGAGCATCCTCTGAGAACACACCAAGGCACTGATTAAAAATGCCCACTGCATGCTCCTCTGTCCTCACCAAGTAGAGAGACTTGCACAATAGTTGGCTCCCCTGATATGAAGGGTAATGAATTTCAATGAAGCTTGGTGGAATCCATGATTTATGCGTTGGCCTATGTCGAGTGTGTGGCTAAGAGATATTCATGGCCCCCCTGCTCTCAGAGGAAACACAAGCAATAGACATTGGAGATCACAGACTACTGAGCGTGTCAGCTTTCAGAAATAGTTCTGCACTTCCTTTCAGTCAATTTAAATACGGGTGTTGTGTGTTTGAAACTGGACTTCATAGGAAAGATAATCTCAGTTAAATACATGTGCATGGTGTTTGGAAATAGAAACAGTGGGTTCTATCTTGTCCTTCTATGCTAAAAATAAACTACTATCCTGTGTAAGAATACATACATGAGCTGTGACTTTCATAGCTCTTTCCCATGCATTATTGCTCTACTGAGTGGAATTTTAATGACATAGAGTATATTCACACACTGTAACCAAGAAGATACCCACATTGTGCAGCCTCTCTTGCTTTTAGCCAAACAGCCCAGCGCTCCCACATTTGTGTTGAAAACCATTGCAGCACGACCAAAATACTGATTTGCCTCCACCATGCTCGAGGACAGAATCTCCTGCCTTCTTTTACTCAACCTAGTAAAGCCAGGCCCGGAGCATAGAACCATCAGCAATTTTTCTAAATCTTTTTCCCGTCTCTGTCTGTCTCTCTCTCTTTATTTGAATTTTATCTTCAGTCATGATGGACTTTTGTCTAGAGTACAGATAGGCTCACGTTTCCAGTCCTTTGTGGAGCACAGCAGCTTCTTTGTTGAGTAAGTTTTGCCTCAGAGCATTGCAGCCTCGAGGCACTGGACAAGATTGGGTATTTTTCAGCACCATTTCAGGTTTAATTTACTCAGTGTCATGTTCCACAAATCTGCTGCTGCGCGAGCCTCAAAAATCTGTGAACTATATTTTTCTCCTAAGAACTACTGACAGAATACGCTAGCTGAAATAATTATTTTGCCAATATATCTGACTAAGGTATGAGGATAAATAGAGGAAATAATTGGGAGTGCAGTGCTGATCACCTGTTTCCTAAAATCCTTTGTATTTGTATTTGGAACTGGTTTCGACTAAAAACAACAATGTATTATGTATGAAATGCTTATAAATGCTTACGTGTATACTTGTAAGCAAATCTCGAAACCCTCTGCACAGTAGTTCTATTCTTAACGCTGAATTGTAGAGAAAGTATATTATTAAATGTTGGACATCCATTGGGAAAGTCTGTGCACAGATGTAGAACAGTCTAGTAATGTTTATCTTATTGTAATTGTTGCCATTTTAGATTCTGTTAAATAAAAACAGCTTTACTCCAAATTGGTGAGCTGCAGGAAAGAAACATCGAGACGAGTGGATCATGTTCTTACCAATGTCATTAGGAATCAGAATCAGCCGCAGGAAAATGTGTGGGAGGCAATTTGTTTATCAGACTGCATTACTCATTAATGTCATTTTTACCCTTTTGCAGAATCTATTGATGACTGTCCAAGTAACTGCTTTGGAAATGGTGACTGTGTAGCTGGAACCTGCCATTGCTTTTTAGGATTCAAAGGGCCTGACTGTGGGAGAGGTGAGTCACTTCCTGTATTACTGTGGCTTATTTAATGCAAAACACATATTATCCGTTTACTAATAAGATGTATTACAGATATGGTGTGGTGTTAAATCAACCTTTTATACCCATGTATGTAAAAAGAACATTTATTTCCATCCTTTCATAATGGTTGGTTTTATTCTTAGGCAAAATTATATTTTGTTTTGTTTGCAAGATATTGATTTTCTTCATCCCCAGTTTGACTTCTAAGTCAAAAACCACCCATAAATTAAAGCTTATACTAAAAGGGGGTTATAACTTTATCAGGCTTATAATGTTGTGACAATCCTATGAATCATTGGTGTTTTATTTTCATAGCTTAATAATCCTCATATACAAACGATATTATTACTCTCTGGATTGTCTTACTCTAAGCTTTTAAGTGAAATACCTTTCTGTGCTGTACCTTTCAAAAGATACACATTTAACAGTATGGTAGGGACCCCACTGTCACATTGACCCTAGTGATACGTAAACAGCCTTTGAAGCTATGGTTGGAAGAGTCCATTCAAATGCGTGTGTGCTGTCTGCTCTTTTCACAGCTGCCTGTCCAGTGTTGTGCAGTGGGAATGGTCAATACCTTAAAGGTCGCTGTATGTGCCACAGTGGCTGGAAGGGCTCAGAGTGTGACGTTCCCACCAACCAGTGCATTGACATCACATGCAGTGGCCATGGGACGTGCATCGTAGGGACTTGTATCTGTAACCCAGGCTACAAGGGAGAGAACTGCGAAGAAGGTGACTGCCATAATAACTCCCAATAATGTGTCCCAGACTAGTGAAAGTGTCTGTAATACGGTTGCTATAAACATTATAACTTGTTATTGCTTGACATTTCCCAAACAATAATGAGAACAGCTATTAAGTTGTTATGGCTTATGTTCCAGTCCAACTCGTAATAAAGGAAGGACATCCTCTGTAATGAGTCATATAGTAAAACATAACCTTTTCACAATATGCGTGCAGGTGACTTTTGCTTTATAAATCACGTGGAAAAGTAACCGTGCCAATACTTTAGTGTCCATTTATGGGAAAGAAAACTACGTTATATGTTGATTTATTTGGTGTTGCCCGTGGATGATGCTGGATAAGGCTTGACCATACTGAAAGAGCCATTGTGTTTGTCACTTGGTGAAGGCTCTCATTTCAAGATGAAAAATGGACCCTTGGAGTTTGATAAATGACCGTTTCTGACATCCATAGGCCCCTATTCTATTTTGGGGGAGAGTGTCGGGCCATAAGGAGTGGAGGGGAATGTGTACGCGCACCCTTTAACATTTTTACCTTTCTTCTATCCGACCTTCAGCCTCAATGATTAATTGCCAGGAGAGAGTTTCTTGTCAGTTAGCCTCTGATCTTTGTGCCATGCGCCTAAGCCATCTGCTAAAAGGCAAGAGATCCTGTTTGTCTTACTCTAACGGCCTTTATACTCGTGGAGGCGAGGTGCCATGGTGTGGCTGGCTGCTTATAGTGTCCAGACTGCTTTTACTTGGCATCCATTTGCCATCTGTGTGAACTATGTGACCATTGAGTCATACAAAGAACCATTTTATTTGGAATGTCTACACCCACAAAACTCTTGTCCCCTCCCACACAAAGTTGTGTTAGACATAGATGTGCAATATTATAAAAAATTAAATAAAAAATTATGAAGTAAACAACCCAACAAAATAACTGTAGAGAAAAATATACAAATAAAAAAGGTATGATTTGTGCTTCATTGAAAAAACAAGAATCAGTGGAATAAGTCCATCTCCATTGGGTTCAATCTAATACTTTTTCTGTCATTTTGTTTGTAAGTGATGGGGTGGTGCCAGCAGAAGCGTGGGCAATACCTGAGGTTATTGCCATAAGGCACAGTGTGAACAGTCTTTTAATTGGCATCTTTATAAAATCAGTTATAAAGGACCTCCTTATGCTGTTTTCAGTGTATCTTGAGTTTTGGTCCTCAGCCATCAGCAGGTGCAGCCTTCACTGTTCACAACACTTGGGTTTAAATAAAAACAGAGCTGTTTGACAAAAGAAGGCAGCAGGTGACCTTTTTGTATTTTTGGACTCCCTTTAGTGGACTGCTTGGACCCGACATGCTCCGGCCGAGGGGTGTGTGTCCAGGGAGAGTGCCACTGCTTTGTGGGCTGGGGCGGTCCCGGATGTGAGAGCCCCAGGGCGTCCTGCATGGACCAGTGCTCTGGACATGGAGCCTTCCTGGCAGACACAGGGACCTGCAGCTGCGATCCCAACTGGACAGGCCATGACTGTGGCACTGGTAAGAGGCCCACTCAGAGATGTGCATTTCCTTTTACTGCTCTACAAGAAAACGTTTCATATTATGACTATAAGGAAAAAGCTCCAGATTTATTTTCCTCTTTAGATGACAGCTTCAGAAAAGTAAAACACTGCAAAACAGAGTAATCCTAAATCTAACTCTTTGTAACATTTATGGCAGCATCAGCTATAGTGAAAAGATGAGAAGATTCCCTACACTAAGGACTATGCTAAAATGACCTATGATTTAAGAGCCCTGTAAAACATGTGAAATCATGCAATCCCATTTCAAACTGTTGCTTGATCTCAGCTAAGTGCAGGTGTAGTTTTGTGGGGAAATGCTGCAACAATGTCTATATAGCAGTTTGAGTTTGATACATTGTTTTGTCCAGCCTCATTTGTATTCTGGGCATTTTTCTTGAGCAGGAGACACCGTCAGCTATTTAGATCCATGAATCCCATTGTATTCCGAGCAGACACAATGACCTATTAGGTAATCCCAGGGATTCGGACGGAAATGGGAAGTTTGCCGCTCGGAGAGAGAGCTCTGTAAATGATGATGAGTTAGCTCTTGATCCTCCTTTATCCCGTTCATTGTAAAGCGTTCTGGGTCTAATACAGGACTAAGCTTGGTGGTGGACTCGTGCAGCCGGACACCTCTCACCTCATATATTAGTGAACAGAAAATGAAATACAGTTTTACTGTATGAAGTTTTTATCCCATCCTTACCAGATTTAAAATCCAGACTCATTTTACTCATGTGGATTACAACAAAACTGCATAACCTGTGTGCTGCACAGTTTGTAGTAATAGCTTTAAAACTTTGCCTGGGGCTTTATGCACTTTGATATTTGTGGTTTTATTCTTCCATTTGCCTGTTCTGAGAAACTTTTGTTTACATGGCTCTTCAGTCTAAATGTTAACAACCATCATAGGGACTGGGCATTTTTCACAATAGACTCCAATGGCCATGAATAATCAACCGTACCAGCAGGCATCATTATCATGTTAAAACTGCCTTTGGTCCAAATAAAACTGGCTCCACTGTTGATCCAGGTTTGATTTCTCTGAGTCAGAATCAGAAATGCTGGGATTTTGTATTTTCCACAAATATACTCAAGATGTTCCTTTTTGTTATTAAAATATTCTAAAATAATTATATTTATTCAACCATAAATAAACAATATAATTAATTATATGTACATTATATAATTTGATTTTAATAAAGAAAGACTTTTATTTAGTTATTTTATATAGTATGTGCCATAGTGACAGGTGTCAAGAGAGGAATGAGATGTAGGCTAATCTAATCATTTGTAAACCACAATTGTCATTTTACGAATAGTTTCGGAAATCACCACTCAAATTTAATTTCTGGCCATGAAAAAATAGGCAGTAATTGACTTATTATAAGATACAGTCCCCTGCAGTCATACTTGAATTAACTTGGCTAATAATCCAAAAATGCATAGCTGTTATTTCAGAGAGCATGTAGTGCTAAGCTGTTTTCATAAAAAAATGGTTAAGAGATTAACATTTAATTGAGATTCAACAGTAATCTGTCAATGTTTAATTCCTTTGTACTGTGGTGGGTTCTTTGGTCCCTCGACTTCATCAGACAGATGATGTCCCAGGCTCAATCACAGCCTGTCAGGAGGGCCCTTTAGATGCCACAAAAGCATCAGACAGGCTTCATTCTGTTCTGTGTCCAGTCCCTCTGCACTTTATAGATGTAACATTTTCTCCAACATTAAAAAAGTGGCCACCTTTTGCACTAACTCACCATTTGCCTGTTGTTTTCATCTTACCATCATATGGTGATCTGTGTATAAAAGGTCCAAGTGGGGGGAAAAAATATTTATGGCTGGTGACTCTGCAGGTTCTTTTGTGTTTTAATTTCTCTTCAGCTTTTTTGCTGAACAGACAGGAGAGGACAGGAGGGGAAAATGTGTCTGCTAAGGCTATACCCGAACCCATGTCTTTTCTTTGTAATGGACTTATTAGATTTGTATTGTCAAAAAGGATTGCCTTTATAAGGTGCTGGAATTTCTTTTCAGCTGTCATCAGACAAGGTAGTGGAGCGTGTCCGCCTTTCCTTGACAATAACTCCTGGATTTGTCTTTTCTCTACCCTTGTTGCCACGTCCCGTCTTCTCTCTACCCCTCTACCCCCTCCTATTCTGTCTTTTCTGTGTCCGCTGTCTCCCACAGAGATTTGTGCAGCCGACTGTGGTGGCCATGGCGTTTGTGTGTCGGGCAGCTGCCGGTGTGACGAAGGCTGGATGGGTGCTGGGTGTGACCAGAGGGCGTGTCACCCTCGCTGCAACGAACATGGCACTTGCAAGGACGGCAAGTGTGAATGCAGTCCTGGCTGGAACGGAGAGCACTGCACCATTGGTAAGCGCGGACAGGGGGTTTTTGTTTGGGTCTGTGACTGTCCGGGTGTAGCCGCATCTGTCTGTGCATTTGGGGGGAGACAAAGGCGTGGGCTGCCTGTCTGCCTGCCTATGTATGGCGCTTGGTGTATAAGGGGAAGTGTCCAGTTGGAGAAGTGAGGGAAAAGCATGCTTAATTGAATTTGTGCAACTCAGTAAAGCATGAACAGGTTTACTCAAGGATCTGAGGCTTGACTTCATGCATTTTAATGTGGGAATGTGCTAAGGTGTCCTTTCATTTTACTCATCCTTTTCCACATCTCTTTCTTTACTCCCTTCCCATTTACAATTAATTTCAAATTCTCACTTTTAAGTCAACTTGTGTACCATTTGTCCTTTATTATAAATGTTTTGTAATGCCTTTTTACAGCGTTTATAAAAATTTCTTCCACAACATTCCACATTGAATTTTTTTTTTTATTCCCGAAGTTTTAAAGTGAAAGTGAGAGTAGCATGTATGTAAATGAGCAATCAATTATAGTAGGAGTGGGGAGAAACTCAAATGTGCTAGTTTTCTTTTATTATATTATTTATCTGTACCTCCTTTGATCATAGATTGAAAAGAAAAAACACGATTGACAGTATCCATTAACTTTTTTGATGTATTGTAATTTTAGCCAAAAGTTAATTTAAACACATCACTAGAAAAAACATTTGCTGATTTGCTGGTTGATGTGACAATATTTTCACTATAAATTCTTCTGCATTTTTGATATTTTAAGCGCTACACTCTAAGTGCTGTTCATCATTGCTTTATAGATTTTAGCTGCGGTCTTACATTGTTTATGCAGCACACTCATTACCATGCAGTGGTCAGCTCCAGCAGCAGAGGAAAGAGCAGGACAAAGACCAGGGATCCCCTCTGCCTCAGCACACTACACCAGTCAATATAGTCCAAACTATTACAGCTTTTGTGTTTTTCTATAAGGATGAGCTTCCTTCCCTGTATTCTCCTTGTATACTGCCATGACTCGAGACTGTGAATGTTTTATACGCCAGCCCTACATTATTGATGACCCTTTTACAAGTGCCATATTGAGATCCCCACTCCCTCTACAAGACTATTCCTCAGTGTTATCCATTAAGAAGCCAAAGATCTCAATTTAAATCACTTTTCATCATATAGAGCTGTGCGTCGGCCACATATTGCGCCGCTCAGGAGGTCCGACTTTGACTGTCTAAGCCTCGAGTGACCTCATCTTTGGTAGAGCTGTTTGGAGATTAAAAGTGCCCTCTGTTCAACACAGTGACCCTGGTACTATATTACTTAAGAGATTTCAGTGAGGCAGTGCATCAATCTTGTTGCTTTTATATATCAATTTTACCAAGACATTTTGTTCATAAATCACTGTGTTATTTTTAATACATCCTTTTGTAATTTCCAGTGTAAGTGTTGTTCTGTCCTTCATCTTTGGCCATATGTTTTTTTTGTTTGTTTATTCCTTTCTCTGTAATGCATGAAACTGTTTCACGATTGAACTTTTTTAATTTTACCTCTGTGCGACGTCAACTAACACCTTGCCTTGCCTTGTCTTGTCATGGAAGTGGCACTGTTCAAAACCTCCCTTATATGTCTTGTCTTTTATCTCCCAAGCTCACTATCTGGATAAGGTAGTGAAAGGTACGGCATTCCTCCTTTCCTTCTATTTTTACCCTTGTCCCATTGACACTTCAGCCAGCATTAACAAATCACACACACACACACACACACCCCTTTCCCTACATAAGCATATGCAGACATTACAACACTCCCCTTGCTACCCAAGACAAGCCATTTTAATGCCTCCCACCCCATCAACTTTTTGCCATATTGTCACACAGTAATCTCCACTTAGCACTTTCACACCTGGTGAGTAAACTTTTTGATGTGATGTGGTTGGTGTGTGGCCTCGCTCTCTCAATAGGGATGTGTTGGTAAAGGGGGCTTCATAACTGGCCTATGCATTATGGATGAGTGTGCAGCTGTGAGCAGAGTCTGATAGGTGCTGAGGCCGCATCCTGTCTAATTAAAAGAGTTCATGGTCTGGTTGGTGCTGGGCAAATACAGGGGGTGGAGGCGCCATGTCCAGCCTGCCTCCAGCGCTTGCTCTCACTCTCCCTGTGTCCTTGGTAATGGACCACCTGTCATGGCTGCGGCTGCCAGAGGAGGCCTATACGAGCGCTTGCGGCTTCACGTTGGAGCGGTCTGAGACAGGCTTGGGCAAAGCACAGCAGGAGCTCCACTCTGAAAAGCCAGCCAATTAAGTCGAACTGGTGCCAAACTGTGAGCAGATCTGTATTTATCCTTGTAATAAACATTCACTTTACTAATCATCCATCTCCACTGGTCAAACTAAAGTCTTTTTGTTCTTTTACTAAATGAAAGAATGGCAAGAGTTTAAGTCTTAGGAGACATAACATTTACTATTAGGAATGGCTTTTAAGGCACTCCAGCAGAGCAGGATGTCAGTTTATAAATGCAGTCCCTCAGTATTTTGCCCAAAAATCTTTTGCCAGTAGAGACAACACAGACAAAAACGGGTTAAATTATTAAAACTTAATGGTGTCCACTGAAATTGTCCATAAAATGTGTTTGGATAAATTGCAGCGCAAGCTGTCGTGTGTAAGCTGCCTTTCATAATTGTTACAGTAGAGGGAAGTTAATGATAAATAATGATGTTTAGGTAAGTAGTTAGTCAATTAGTTTTAACTAATTGGTTTTAACTATATGTCTTTTTTGTGCCTCTACTTTCACATCTTTACTGTTTAATAAATAGTTCTCTTTATGTCGGCTTCTAGTCTCCATGTTTGAGGTGAGCAAGAGTAGTGATACAGCCGCTCTACTCTTTCAGCCTGATAAAATGAATCGGCGTAGCTTTCACTCTATCAAAGCAGCTTGCTTACCAACATAAAGCTTGACAGACGTGGGCTCTCAGTATCTGGAGATGGTGGTCTCTGCAGAGAGATATGAGAGGTTCTGGATCAGTTTAATGCTTTAAAAAAGAGATCATCTCTGATCATGTGACTTGTACAACCCTACAGCAGTAGTGTTTTCAACTTCCACCCCCAAGGTCACAGATAGCCCCCCCATTACACTCTTATATTCTCTATAATTGATTCATGGATTTGATTTGATTCACAAGTACCTTGGTGTCTACAGTATAAGGGCACTAAGGTACATTCATTGCATTAGCACATTACTGCAATTACAATTAATTTTGAATTTTAAAATCCCACAATAATGATCTATTTATGTGCTGAAATGTCACCATATACTTGCTTCTCCTTTGTATCACGTGTACAGGAGGCTATTGAGCCAGAGTAATGAGCACTTATCGATTCAGAAGATCCATCTTATCTGATTTAACTGCAAAGGGATATTAGGAGCTTCACATAGGGTGTATCAAATTAATCAACTGATGGTGTCATCAAAGCAGCCCATATGCCGCCTATGCAGATCTTTTGTTTCTGTTAATTTACTCCTTTAAACTTGTCTTTTTTCTGAAATTTATCTTGTTGTTTTTCTGTTGAACAGAGGGCTGCCCAGGTTTGTGCAATGGAAATGGTAGGTGCACTCTCGGAAACAGTGGCTGGTACTGTGTGTGCCAGCTGGGCTGGAGGGGCACTGGCTGTGACACCTCCATGGAAACGGCCTGCAGTGATGTCAAGGACAACGATGGAGGTAAAATTACAAACAAGACACAGCAGTGCTCTGTGACAACAATCAACAAGGACTCTAAACTCGACATGATTGGACTACAAAATGTCCTTCTGTGCTTCAAACTCTGCCAGGCGGGTTTAGCACAGAGTAGTTTACACAGGTAAAGAATGTCTTCCAGCCTGTCACCTGGACAAGAGGCCTCTATTAAAAAGCAGGCCTTAAGCCCAAAAATGTGCTGGCCCCCAGAGGAAGTCGCTGCTCTGCCCTCAAACTAGCCCCGAGCAGAGCCAGGCACACACACAGAGCCAGCCAGGGGGTGTGCCACTCCAGAGGCCAGCAGGGAGACGTGACTTCCTTTCTAGTAGACCTCATTCTGGGCTGCGCTATGCACTAGCATCCCTTATTTATGCCAAAGCTGTTTGTCTCCCATCACAGTGCAGGGACCACAAAGCGCTCTATAGCAAGACGGGGCACTGTTGGGGATTTGACTGACTCCTGACAGCACGGTTTATTTTTATCACCCATCTGGCCAGATAGGTCCCTGAAAGCAAAGGGTAGGAAGTCCTATGACCCACTTAAGCAAAGTAAAATGCAATGCACAGCAGCTCTTTTACTCTTTTGTTTCATGTAGTCAGGCGCAGTCTTATGAGCAGAGCGGGTGTCTTTTCTTTTGTATTGTGTAGCATAATTGATTATCAATTGTATCATAACAAACACACGAAAGAAAATGTAAGATCACTAAATGTGTTAATTTGTATTATTTGTTGAATAAGTCAGGCTTGTTTGCCCTTGTCAGATGGCCTTGTGGACTGCATGGATCCTGACTGCTGTCTGCAGTCGAGCTGTCACACCACCTCCCTGTGTGTGGGCTCCCCGGACCCCCTGGACATCATCCAAGAGACACAGATGTCCTCTACACAGAGCAACCTGCAGACGTTCTATGACCGCGTTCACTTTCTGGTGGGCAAAGACAGTACCCATGTCATTCCCGGAGCCAATCCCTTCGATGGCAGGTGAGTCCCCATGTTAACAGATGATACCAGAAAAACAAATTTATATGATATGTATTGTTTTGCCAAAAATGGGGCTTTTGATGTGAATGGGTATTCTTCCTTTATAACTGTATCTAAAGTCAGAAGGTGTAATAAGGGACTGAATCTAGTGATAAGACATCCCAGATTTAGTAGTTTGCAATAATCTTAAAGGTTCAGAAATCAGATAATAAACACATTTTGGTGTGCATTTAAACATTTAAACAAAGCTATTGTGGGGCTTGAAAAAGGCTAAAATATGTGTTGGCCCCTTGATGTAGCTCCTGACTGTCATGTTGGAATGAAAGTGTATGCATGCCTTTACTTAACCATATCAGGCTGAGGCACAGGAACCAGGGAAGGATGAGCTATGGCAAGATGCTGAGTTTGACAGAAAATGTGAGATGCTCTGCGAGACGGATGATGGACAGATGATGATGGACAAACATCAAATTTGGCAAAAAGCATATAGCCTTCTTTGGCCCAAAACGTATCTCATATTCATGTATTGTGATTAGTTTTACTGTAATCCATTTGAGGCCCACTCCCAGAGGTGCAACTCGTGACACCCCGGCCCTGAAATGTGAGCTGCTTTCATGTCAAGAATACGTCTGTCATAGTCCCCTCTGATTCCCTGGCTTTTTCTTTGTTTTTTTTTCCACTTTTCATCTTTAAATGCTTACAACTGTGTCTGCTTATTTGCATTCCACTTGCTTATGGATATATTCTAATCTTGGTATAACACAAAAATTATTCTTTTTTGTTCTCAGGGATAATAACAAATAAACCAAACAACATAATACACAGCAGAATGTCAGTGATATATTACATATGAATTACAGTTTAATATCATCTTTAAATCCAATAAGACTATGTGCATTGTAGTAATGTAAAGATTTGTGGAAATTATACCCGAAATGATGACACACATGTGGATCGTTATGGTATAATCAAACTGAAAGATATACATCTCCTTGAACTGTGCCCACTGTAATGTAACTCTTTCTGAATTCTCTGTAGTAGTAAACTACTTCCAGCTGATACTCGAGAAAAGCTTTTGTAACACACGTTTTGACATTTTCCCTCATTGACATTTTTCTGGCTTTCAAGAACCACTCAACATTTTCAGATGTAACTGGCAGACAGACTAGCAGCGTGAGTAATCCCCTTGTCTAGGGAGAAGATGCTGACCCATAAATAAGTAAAATCAAGAATTCTGAGATGAGCCGTGAGTTTAAGGCCTTCCCTAAAAATACCAGTGCTAATCTATAATTCATGTTGGGTATTCTTTCCCCTCCCACTGACAGATATGACAGTACTCTAGGCCTTACAAGCAGTGCCTCAGCATTTTTCCCTAGTTCCTGCTCTGGTCACCTGATCAGCTTCTTATTGATCTTCTAACCACTTCCTGATGCGAGTAGACATGTAGCACGCCATTTTCACATGTTTACCACTACACAGAGCTGCAGAGGTGCCACTGAATGAAACTGCACAAAATGTCTGCACTCTGCCCTGGCCTGCCTGAACTGGAGCAGTGTTCTCTGAGTGGAATAGTAAACAGGGTCTGTGTCCACTCAAAACCATCTGGAAGGGAATGATATAGGTGTTAAAAATTGATATAAGCGAAAATGTTTTTTAAAGCTCTTAAATCTTTTTGGTTTCACTTTGTTATTGTCAGGGGCAGACGGCAATCTGAGAGTTCTGGAAAAGTCCAGAAGAGTGTCTGAGAAATGTTATGTGCATTTTATTTCCTGAACTTGAGATGTGGGCTAGACTCTGTTGAGCTTCAGTGTTTTTTTCTCTCTAATCCCTTTTTTGTTTTGTTTGTTTTTGTTTTGTTTTGTTTTTTTCTATCACATTAGTAATAGTATTATTTACACCCTCTCTTTTTGCATGCTTGTGTTTCAGAGGCACAGGATACTAGACAGTTTAAAATAAATTGGAAGGTATACTGTTTCCCTATAAAAGAAAATTTTATATGATAATATGTGCTAAATCTTTTTGTCCTTGGATCATCGGGGAAAAAAAGTTCAAGTCAGAGAAATGTCAGTGTGCGTCCTGTTTGACTTTGTAAATTCTTTTGCATATAGAGACTTTTGCAGCCAATGCTTCACGCATCCTCTGCTGCTCTTTCGGCAGTATTTGGTGTCAATATTTAAATCATTTGTCTTGACAGAGAGAAATTGTCTCTGCATGTGGTTCACAGAGGCAGGAAGGAGATAGTTCCACTTTCACAGCTCGGTCTGTGGAAAAGGGATGATTGCCTCTTCAAACAAGACTCTAAAATAAACTGTCAGCACGAATGATTAAAAGTCTACTGCCATACCAGAGCTGGGTTAACTGTAGTCATAATTTCAAGTCAAGCTCCTCTGATAGATCTATGTTAGCACACTACAATTTAGAATACCACTCTTGTTTACATTGCAACAGTGGACAGCCAAGGTCCTCTGAAGGAGAGCTAGCCTAATTAACATAAAACTGGGTTTCTGGGGACCAGGGTAGTGTGGGGTGAATGATCTTGCCTGTGGTAAGGACATGCTGAGGGCAGCTACTAACACGCTAGTGTTAATTGTTTCCAGTTTGTGGCAGTGTTTAAGACCCAAATGTATTAAAAATAGCCATGGTCTAATGAAGATGTGGCAGTAAGGCATTTGTTCAGGGACCAACTTTTTGCATACGGTTACAGAATAGCCGACTGACCATGAGCGGGGGTCCTGTTTAATGATGAGGGCAGAACACGTCAACAGGGATGTGATACAGCAAGGTCCCAGCTCATCAGAGCAGCCAGATTAGGAGGTGAATTTGGATAACTTCCCACTATTGATTGGTGGCACTGAAGATCAGATCTAATTTATGCGACTTCTGCGCGGCTGATGTGAGCCTGGAAATCTGTCAGGTTCTTGATAACCAAACGCATCTCGCAATCTGCAGACCTATTATTGTGCTCTCTTGTGTTCCGTAATAAAAAGATAAATACTTTTTTTTAATTAGAGCACTGCTAGAATAAACCTTCCTTATCTCATTACTTTCTGTTCTGAATTGAAAACACCTCAGAGAAACCCTGCAGGTTTTCTTCTCTACTTGTTTAACTGTGTGGATTATTTTTCAGCCATGGTTTTATGCTGCTGTTTCAATGTACTCTTTACATTATAAATACTACAATGGGTGTAAACGATGATTTAAAAAGAAGCTACTTTTAAAATTTGGTTTACCTTAATTTACCCACCAAATTTACTATTTATGTGTTTCTTTCTTCAGTCATGCTTGTGTGATTCGAGGACAAGTTGTAACATCCGACGGAACACCACTGGTTGGAGTCAATATCAGCTTCATCAACAACCCATCGTTCGGATACACAATCACCCGGCAGGACGGGAGGTAAGAGCCACACTTCAAAAACAGACACACATGCACAGATAGGGACCATATATTCAAATGATTGTCAAATACCATTGTTTGTATGTGCTGAATTGTAATGATAGAGGGGAAAACACTGTTGCCACTGCAAACTGTGCCGTCATTGATCTGCTTTGTGCTTTCATTTGGTCCAATTTTGGAGTTCTCGGCTCAATTCCCAGTGAAATCAAACAAAGCCCTTCTGGTACACTCATAAGTTATGCTTCAGTAGCGACAGGGAGGGGAAAAGAATAAAATACGCCAATTCAGAGCGGCTCCCAGAGCATATGAAACACGCTGCAGATGGACATTATTTATTTGACAACTGAAGATAGAGAGAATAAAATGGAACATTGAAGTTTAAACCAGAAATGGGAAGCTGCGGTATCATTCTAGGAACTTTAATTTGGAAGACTGACAGTAAAGGCTCCCACTCCAACTTTCTTTTCTTCCAAAGTTGATACACATTTTTGCTCTATTTATATATTTGTTATGCTTTATTACCTGCACCTAAAATAGTGACCATATGTTTAGGTAAAGATATGTATTGGTGTGTTTGCATTGGTATATTCCAGCGTGTATTTGCCATATATACATTTTTTGTTGGGCAGCTTGCTGTTACTACATACCCTTTGTTTGAGCTGGTCCTTGCAGTAGAGCCAGTCTCTCTGTCAGAACACAGCAGGGATGGCTGTTTGCTGTGGAAGCCTCACTTCCTCCTGACACTTTTATCAGTCACTGACTTTAAAAGCCCTGCATCTGTGCTGCCGGTTTGATCCTGATGATTCTAGCTCCTCTTCATGCTTTCCGTCTTCTTGTCAGCCCCCTATCCCTGTCCTGGTTTTACAAAAAATCTCTCATCTCCACCTTATCAACTGGCCCTTCCGCACTTATTTCATCTGCTCTTCATCCCGTCATGCTCTTCCTTGTCTAATCTCCCCCTCCCGCTCCATAGATGCTCCTTTCTGGGCACTTCATATTTCCTGTGCTTTGCTTGGGCCTTGAGTCTTGGGGCATTTCCTCCACACTGGCTTCCCCCATCTCGATCTCTTTGCCATTTATGCGTGTCTCATTTTTCTTATGCATCCGTCCGTTTTCGATTGCAAAGCTTCATACCCTTTTTCCCTTCCAGCATATGTGTAAACACTACTCCATCTCCCAGGTTCCCCTGTAAACATGCCCAGTCTCCTGCAACTCCCCTGCAATCACTGTAAACAGGTTCAGTGCAGCGTGAAATCAGAAATGCACCTGTTCAGCCACTTAGAAATGGGAAAGCTGTCTCAACTCATTTTTATGATGTGTTCTTTATTGTCCAAGGACCTTAGTTTTTAAATTACCCCTTATCCTCTGTCCAGAAAAGTTTTTATAAACAAAAGAGCTGAGTTAGTGTCTATGCTATAATACGCCATCACTTTCTTATTGTCACTATAAATAAATACATTTATGGAATATCTGTGAACCAGTATTTTTGTGTGGTTTGTTGATTTTATTGACAGCCATTATAATGCTTACTTATACACACATGTTTTATGCATTACTCAAATTACATGCAAAAGAGAATTGGGTTATTAAATATTTCAAGCTTTTACACTGTAATGGTAATATTATTTCTTATTAAGGCAGTAGCAATATTATTTTGGATTAAAGAGTATTCGCATTGTTGGATAAGCAACTATCAATTTTACATGCTTAAATAATGCTAGAGAGGCATGTTCTCCATTATGTTGTGCATTTCCAAGATGGCATCTGTGTCATTAGGCTCAAATTAGTTTACAAGAGCATATAGACAAACACTAATTGAAGCCACTCTAATGAACAAGGGCCTAAGTGAAGTCCTAATTGATAGGTAGCTAATTCTAGCGTGCTCTTGCTCACTCAAACATCAACAACAGCAATTACCCAATGCATATTTCTTTGTCCTTGATTCACTTTACCTTTTAGTCCACCACATTTACTTCATAAATATATAATACAGCTGTGGTAACATGGGAAATTAGTGCATATAATTTGTGTGAGTGAGTTCATTGGCAGGGTTAACTCTTAAAGCTTGATGCATTCCCTGAAGGCGCACACAAACAAAGCTGTTGTGGCTAGCTTAATAAGTTTTGTCACATGGCTTAAGGCTGTTGTCATGATTGATAACGGCCAGTGAATCCCCTCATCGATTGGCCACGCAGCCCATGGCTATGTGTCCACTAGTGTTTTCACTGTGCATAGCCGCAACTCTGTAGGTGTCATTCAGACTGACTGGGTGCAGATGCGTGTCTAATAGGACATTACAGTGGCGCACCATCTCAACCTTCTCAGGTCCCAACCTCTGTATCACCACTAAAACTTACTTTACTCATCGAGGGCTAAGGGCGAAACTTCAAGGGTGGGTGAACATTGGTTTATAACTATCAGGGCTTAGTCGATTACTTGGTGTCTTAGTCAATGAAGAACTGTATTTGTGGACTTATAGGGACCACAACAGAAAGGAAAAAAGCATGGAGTGAATTAGTTGTAGTTTTAGTTTACATCATGAGTTTATTCTTCCTTTTTATTTATTTATTTACTTATTTATTTAATTATTTATGTATTTATTTATTGTATAGTTGTTTTTCAATGATTTGCTAGAGTTTACCCATAAGGAAAGAGGACAACTTCTTAATTTAGTATCTTGAACAGAGAGGGAGGTTACGCAGTTCACAGGACACTTTTTGGACTAGATCTCTACCTGTAATTTTAGCAAACATATTTTCTATATAAGGATGAGGTCTGGTCCCAGGAGCACACAGCAGTGACCAGGTGCTAATTGGCTTTTAAAGAAAAGTGACAAGCGCAGGTGCAAGGATGCTGTAGTGGCGATACAGAAGTCGTGAAAGTGCCAGAGACTGAGACTGATTCAGGTCAAAGGGAGAGGCACTTTTACATAAGAGCAGATGGGGTTGCATTGCAGGGCTTTTAGACTGATGTTAGAGTGGACAGCCATATCGTCTCAGCAATCGATAGCGAGCTGGCGTCTGCCCCCTCCTGCAGCACACATCTCCCTCAAATGAAAGTGTGAACAGAAGCTGAGGAGAACGGAGCAGAGCGCGAAACTGTGGAACCTGCACTTGGACTAAACCATATTTATTTCATCTCATCAGTAACACATCAGCAGCTTTTGATAACATATGTTCTCTACATTCTTGCTTTGTTGAAAAATACTACAATTTCTTATAAATATAATCATAATAGTTGGCAGTAAAACTTATTTAAGAAGCGCTTCATCTCAGTGGCTTTCTAACGCATTCGGAAAATAAACAGGGATAAACAAGGGCATCCATGGGCAATTGGGAAAATATTCTTCTATTTGTCTTTTTCAGTGGTCTAAAAAGCCACAGAGATAAAAGATTTCATTGCACATCAAAGCTTTTTATTGTTGTGTTTATTCAGGAAGGAAGCATGCAGGCTTATTTTAGCCAAAAGCAAAACCTTATTGATTGTCCATTCATCTTAATCATGAATATATTGTTTAGATGCCTGTGATATCAATATGAGTAGTGGTGGGAAGGTACGTTTAATATTTCAAACACAGAATCTGTCAACTAATACTTTTACGCCTGCCAAATGAACACACAGCCTGTAATTCATCTTTCATCGACAAAATCAATACTCATCTCTGTGGCAATGTCTGTGTTGCAGTTTTGACTTGGTAACCAATGGGGGAATTGCCATTGGCCTGCGTTTTGAGCGTGCCCCCTTCATCACTCAGGAACACACGCTGTGGTTGCCTTGGGGACGCTTCTTCGTCATGGATACCATCGTAATGCGGCACGAGGAGAACGACATCCCAAGTTGTGACTTGAGCAGCTTCACCCGTCCCAGCCCCATCGTCGCCCCTGCTCCCCTCACTGCCTTTGCTGGCTCCTGTTCTGAGAGGGGCAACATTGTACCGGAAATTCAGGTAACTATAAGATCCCATTTAGACATAAGCTCCAGACTATGCCTGGCCACAAAATGTCTGAACAATCATCCATTTCTGCATCTGCCCTGTTCACACTGGCTCTCAATGCTTTCTCACATAGCAAAGCTCTACTTACATTGAATGAGAATCCAACATTACCGCTAGTGTAACCAAGGAAACCAAGCTTATAACCCGGAAACCATGCTGGTACTCACGGGGACTCCCTAAAAGCTTGGCATTTTGTCCGGTGGTGGGACTTAATGTCCTATTGCAGCCATGGTAACCTCCATTAAACAGTGTTTTTCTATTCATCTGTGCTGCCAGGTCTAATAAACTAATTTAGATGTAAAATTATGACTAAAACACGTTTACTTTTTGTCGATGCATCAGTGCCTCCATGCCCCCTAAACAATTGTACTAAAGCCTCTTCGTGTTCGTGGTGGTTATGCTCTTTGACTATATTTTTCAGTGAGGTTAAGGTTAAGATCACGGTTAGGTTTATACTTTGACTGAGATGAAACCAAATGGTGGCACTGGCAGTTTTCTGTTTTTATTCACACATACACCTTCCCTCCATATTCCTGGTAAATTCCTGGGTAAATAATAAGAAAATTGCCAGATTGAAAAATGCAACTCTATCAGTTCTGGCTTCGTTCACACATGACCCTGTTCTAGCTCAAGACTACTCCCTTTCCCCCCAAACACCTACGCCTGCTACCAAACTCCAGGTGGGGATCTAAATGGGTCCGTGCAGAATGATTCATGCCACTCATCTAAAAGAGACTCTGAAGGCTGTTTATCTGTTAAAAGTGAAGTACTGCCTCTCTCCGTCATGGCAAAGCTGTGATTTCTATCTCTCCCGTGTAATTGCTCTGCCCAGTGCAGAAAATTTACTGTTGGGCTACTCCTCTCTTGTTGCAGATTGATGATTATTACATTGCCTGCTTTTTGTGGCATTTTCTCCCAAGACATTGTAGGTGCACAAATCAAAAACATTCATTCATTTACCTAATGAATGCCTAGTTGTTTTTGTTTTTAAATAATACTTCACTCAGGTGATTTATGGCCTATATTTCAAGCTTTAGTGTGTAGCTGAGTTTACAGTTTTTCTATGCTAAATCCATAGATTCCCTTTTGTTATTTTAACATTTTAAAAACTAAATAATTTACTAGCAAGACTTACGTAGAGACTTGTTTGGAGTTTGAGGACGACTGCAGACAGCTGTCTGAGCTTTTGTCATAGCCTTCCACTAAACTTTCTGTTATTGCTCTTTATATAAAATATTAGCTGTGGAACCCAGGAGTATTCAATTAATGCTATTGTTATATGGACTGTAGAAGACAGTTGTACCAACAAAGCTATTGCTATTATTGGATAATTTTTTAAATAAACTTGCTATTGTATATAATGAAGAAATCTCAGTAGTTCTCTAATAATGTCTGAAGTATATTTTCTGTAATGATTTTTTTTTTTTTCTTGTTCCCTGTAGAATAGTATTTTAAAGCTGCTCTATGAGAAATATAGATCCACTTACTGCTGCAATTGTGAAACCTACGCATATGATATCTGTTGAGATGGTTATTTTAAATAAAGCTATTACAACCTTTGGTAATGAAAGTGAACCCAGCCATATTTACTAACATAGTGGAATGTATTTTCACTTCTGCCAATAAACATACTTTGTTTTTGCATCTAGTCTCTGCAGGAGGAAGTGCCCATTCCAGGAACGGATATGAAGCTCAGCTATTTAAGCAGCAGGACCGCAGGTTACAAGTCAATACTGAGAGTGACCCTGACCCATCCCACAATCCCTTTCAACTTGATGAAAGTTCACCTCATGGTCGCTGTGGAGGGAAGGCTGTTCAGAAAGTGGTTCCCCGCTGCCCCGAACCTCTCTTATGATTTTGTATGGGACAAGGCAGATGTCTACAGTCAGAAAGTCTATGGGCTGTCTGAAGCTTTTGGTAAGTATATAAGAATCATTGCTTTGCCAAATCTAATATTCAAGCCATTTAGATGTTGTTCTATCTTTTATCTTTTCTAGTATCTGTTGGTTTTGAGTATGAGTCATGTCCGGACCTTATTTTGTGGGAGAAAAGGACTGCTGTTCTCCAAGGATATGAGAAGACTGCGTCCAAATTGGGTGGATGGACAGTTGATAAGCATCACGCTCTCAATATACAGAGTGGTGAGGCTTCTTCATCTATTATCCATTGTCTTTTTGACATTGTTTATTTTATGCATTTATGACATTTTTTACAAATTATAGGGTTGACAGAGGAGGCAGTTTGCTTTGATTTCTTTCTTTCTCTCTCTCTCTCTCTCTCTCTCTCTCTGCATCCTGTGGTGGCATTCTTAAAATAGTTTGTCCCCATAAATACAACTTCTATTGTGAGAGCAGGTGAAAGGGATGTATTTTTCTATTGCTGCCAAATTACTGATTGTTGCGGAAAAGGAAGAGAGGATTTTGGCCGTCACTGTCCCTGGTTTTGGCTGGACTCCGTGTTTATAGCTGTAAAGGCTCATCGGAGGAGACGAGGCATACTTATACGATAAGTGCTTAGGAAGGTGCCACTTTGATCTGTCACACTGAACCTGCTGAGCGTCCCTTTCCACTGCCCTCCCCCAGTCTTCGTTTCATCACCCCTGTCTTGTTCAGGTCCTGCATTTTTAGAATCACTGAGGATTTAATTGGTATCAGTCCTGCCGCTCACTGCACCAGTCCCTATGATTAAACCATGACCCAGGGAAGCGATGCTCCACTGATGCTTTTTGATGCACCAAATGTTTCACTGCTCAAAGAACTCAGGTCACCCACTATGACCAGAGAGAAAAACAAGCACAGACACAGATGCTGAATTTCAAATATGATTACCCTGATTGGGCAGTGAGAACATCTTTACATTTACATATTTGAACATTTTCCAGAATTATTGGCAAAATTACTGCAAACCAGTTGGGAGAAAATGTGTTTGGGTGCACAGACTGAAATCACATAAGACATATATTTTTACTTACTGCACAGATTTTAATCAATTTATTCATTTTAATAAATATGAACGTAATATATATGCAGTATTTTGTGTTAATATATTCAATGTTTCCAGGTGTGTTTTTAATACTGCATTCCCCCAAAACATGTATGATACATAAAAGATTTTTCCCAACTGCACCTGCACTCATTTAAAGTACTGTAAAATGTAGCTGCCACAAATAGCACCGTGTTTGGCCACACACCTGTTTCCTGAAAACAAAAACCCAATCAACAGTTAGCTAACCTGTTGTATGCCTCTGCCTCGGTCAGGTATTCTTCACATGGGCAATGGAGAGAACGTCTTCATCTCCCAGCAGCCCCCTGTGATCGGCAGTGTGATGGGGAATGGGCGCAGACGCAGTATCTCCTGTCCCAGCTGTAATGGGCTGGCTGATGGGAACAAGCTGCTGGCCCCCGTGGCTCTGGCCTGTGGCTCTGACGGGAGTCTTTATGTGGGAGACTTTAACTACGTGAGGAGGATCTTCACCACAGGGAATGTCACAAGCGTTTTGGAGCTCAGGTAACACAGCCAGCTCTCTTGATCATTTCCTAAGCATCAGCTGATACTACTACTGCAGAGGCTATAAATATGCAGAGAATGCACTAATAGTGCAAAACTGTTTGTTTTGTGTTTAAATTCACCTGTGTAGTAGTATCTCACTAACCACTGCTTTCTCTCATTAACAACTAACATATGCCTTCTATCTCTTTTCTTCTCATTTTCTGCTTCTGTGGGCATACAGAAATAAAGACTTCAGGCATAGGTAAGATATGTTGTGTATGAGTGTAGAAGGACACTAGGCAACAGTGTTATTTCTTGTTATCTCTTTTCAACGTCTTTCAGCTTCTGCTTATTAACTATAAACTATATGCCAAGTGAACTATGTTTTAAGGCATTGTGGCTTCATAAGGGAACATCAGTTCATACTGGACAATACAATGGGTTTGATAAATCTGTGACATGTGCCAATTTATTATGGAGCAGGACTAGATTGTATCTGGTCTCTGGAGCAGGTGAATTTGTTCCAGCAGCAGATGGAGGTGAGAGTACGCCTGTCTTTAGACCACTTGTGTTGGGCAAAGGGCTATTGATTGATTTTCAATCAAGAGGTCATGACTTTGCCTGAGCGGCTTGTAGTCACTTTGAAGATGAAAAGTTACTAGGCTTTGTTTTATCACCACACACTTTAACAGATCCTCCTGGTTTGGTGAAGACCCCAGATTTGTATTATATATATTTAACTTGATGTATTTGATGTGCTGAACATGCCTCTAAACTTTACATCCCTTACAAAGCAGAGAAATGCCAGTGCCTTCATCCTTTGGTCTCTGTACTCCAAAGGTATTTGCATGCTAAAAAGAAGATTTATCCTTGGAGTACACAGCGTGTGACTGTATAAAATGGGTGGCAACCTCCTGCTCATGTGTGCACTAGTGATAGGACTGACGTGGGTGATCTCAATGTAGTGTTCATTGACCCCCTACTACGGACGCTCCATCCACATGGCCTGTTCAGCCCTGATGCAATGCCAGCATGCAGCAAAATCCAATTATCTTCAACAAACTAGATATTGTTAGTGAATATAGATGGAGTGTGCAGCCACAGCTCAAGGTCAGCGAATAGTTTGAAACACGTTGGGGGACCGACACTGTTCTACATGCGACTTGCAGCTGATAAGGTATCAGGCGATTGCACATGGCAGATAGGATGCAAAGCAGAATCTGTTTATTGAGGGTTGCTAGTGACCTACTCAAGAGAGCATTCATTGAACCATCGTGTACCTGCTCTGTGCTCTGAAGTAACAGATCAGTCTGATTTGACAGTGGCTGATGGCAACATGTGCCTCAGGTTTACATCTAAGCCCTATCAACACTGATTCACTGAAGGTCAATTGTCATTTAAAATCGTTTGCTGAAAGCTAACAATTTGAGAGAACCACCACTGGTCTTCCTCTTTGTGGTTTTATATATAAAATAATAATAAAATGAAAATAGGCTCTATCACGTCCTCTTGTGGCCTCAAGGTTATTGCTGAGTTTTGTCTTAATCCACTTTCAATGACATCCTGCTGACAGCTTTTTTCTTAATACTTATCAGCTCTGTCAGAAATGTGTTTTACTTAGCCCTGATAGTGCAGCACATGTAACACATGCTTCTCACCAATATACATCAAGATGAGGTTAATTTGTCTATATCACAATGTGATAATGACCATATCTATGTGTTCATTGAATACAAACAACCTTTCTGGCAAAAGTTTTCTTTCGTTTAGTTTTTACACTTTTGTAAGTAGTTTGTAAATTCTGATATTTTTATTGCTCAGGCATCTTTTTTATATTCAGTCAGGAGCCTGTTGGTAGATTGCATTAGTCCTACCAACAGGGATTGGTTTTGCTCAGTTCTTTTGTCTGTCTGTCATTTTGTGCAACCTCCTGTGGATACAAAGGATTACTTTGTTGACTTGGTCTGGGGTTTAATAGGATATTTTTTGTGGTGGAATCTCTTGTTGATAGCTACATAATGTGTTTGAATTGCAGCTCCAGCAATGCATTTATGTACTGTTAAAAAGTCACACGGGAAAGAAAAAATATATTGTGTAATTTTAGCAATAACAGGGGCCACCCTTAGACAATGTGTTTTAATGCTGCCTTCAGGTGGCAAGATAACCGAGTCAAACAACAAGTAGTATTTTTCTCTCTCCGCTCCTTTTGCAAAGACATAAACTATTCCTGTTTTGACAATATAATACACAATATAAATACATGCAGAAAAGATGCCAGAGGGTACCATAATATAGATTTTGTATCTGTTCCTAAAATGTACTTTGTGTCCACATCCAATGTTTTATATTTTCTATGTCCTAACTTTAAATGTTAATGTCTCAAATTGGCTTCTGAATCAATTTGTCCATTACATGATGTTTTTGTTGAAAGCAGTTTTATTGACTAGCTTGCTCTCCCTCTGCTTCTCCTAGCAACAGTCCAGCTCATAAGTACTACCTGGCTACAAGTCCAGTGAATGGAGCTGTGTACCTCTCTGACACCAGCAGCAGAAAAGTGTTTAAGGTGAAGTCTCTCAATGTGGTGAAGGATGTGGCCAAGAACCTGGAGCTGGTGGCAGGGACGGGCGACCAGTGTCTGCCGTATGATGACACGCGCTGTGGAGATGGAGGGAAGGCTGTGGAGGCTACACTCACTAACCCCAGAGGTGCGGCAATGTGTAGTGTCCATGTGTCATAATTTCAGATGGAGAGCAGAAAATGTATTAAGTTTTTGAAGAAATAGCTAAAGTTATGATCCACAAATGTTGTACACTCTCTTATTTGTTATTTCACTTTTGATTTTGGTGCCAGTTTTTGTTTCATGTGTGGTGGCCCAGTAATTAGAAATTTTAAACCTAAACACACGAACCCAACCTGTGTAATATAGGTGTCAAAACATAACATTAAGTCCTTACTCAGCTAAATGTGATGTTTCTTTCTTTACCTTTTTAATTAAACTCTCCCTAGATAAACTGTAAAAGTTCCTGTCACACAACTGATTATACTGTGGTTTTTCTCATATAATACTGCCAGGCTTTATTGGCGTCTGAAAGAGCATTAGAGAATGAGACTGTATTGATGAAATTCCTGTTCTAATTGAATCGATATCTACAGTAGGCATCATCTATTTTGATGTTTCTATTGTTCCCCATTATTGATTCTAAAAATCAATTTAAGCATTAGTTTCCACAGCTATTGTTAGTCTTTAATTTTCACCGCAGTAAGGAACCTTTTATTGTCATTTGACAATGTTGTGTCCTCAAATTAAATTGCTGATAATCTAAATAAATAATGATAATTTTCCCTATCTGCAGGCATTACTGTGGATAAGTACGGGGTAATCTTCTTTGTGGATGGAGCCATGATTCGTAGGATTGATCAGAACGGCATCATCTCCACTCTTCTGGGCTTTAATGACCTGACCTCTGCCCGACCTATGAGCTGCGATGCTGTCATGGACATTTCTCAGGTACGACCCTCTGTGGCCCATACAGCCGGCGCTGGCTTTTTAACCTCCATCTCTCCTTCAATGACCCCGTGCTTCCCTCTCCCTCTGGTCCCAAGTGAGCTTTTGTTCTGAAAGTGGATGCTACCTGCCCACTCTGAAAGTCAGCCTGCCTACTTTTCAACCAGCTGCTATACTTACAGGCTTAAACTCAGCTCTGTACCACTAGTATTGGTGATTTTCAAATTTTAGTATGTGGTGATGTTATTCTTGCAGATGAGGGGCCAGAGCCAGTTTTGCATGTCCATGAATCCAGAATGCTAAAAAAAAATTTAAATGTTGCCGTAGAAAATTGTAATGTATTTTCTGAATAAGAAAAAATCATGTTACATGTAACAGAAGCCGAAAGCCTTGAATTGTTTACAATATATTCTCATAAAAAATATCTAAAAGGTAAATTCCCTAGAAGCCGCTGTATTTCAACAATAATTAGCATTTTAACAATATTCATTTTAGTTGCCCCCATCATATTATTAGCCTTGAGAATTTAGAAGTTAGGTAAAAGAGAACATAAACAAGCCTACTGTGAACTTTAACTTATCTTATGATGCACTTAATTTTGCCAATAAAGACATCGTCATTTTTTTGCCAAACAAATTAAATGTTTAGAGCAGAAGCAGTGGTTTGAGCTAAACCTATAGCGACACTCTAGTCCTGGGGCATGCAGTTTGTGTCAAACATCCACAGAACCCCATTCCGATATAGTGTTGACCTACAGCTGCAGGGAGTAAGGAGGATGACCTTTAACCCCACCGGCCACTGATTCATGCACACATGTTCGGTAATGCAGGCAAACACAGAGCGCTACATAAGCAGACATACAGCAGCATGTGTAGCACTTCCCCCAGGCAAGGACAGTGTGCTGGGGTCACTCCATGGACTCTGTTTTGGAGGTGAATGCTCTGCCCCCTTTGCACTCTCCTGCTGCTGTTGCACTATTTCCCTTGAACTATTTATGTAATTCAGGTAAAGCCTTCCACAACAGTAATTTTTAATTTAGAGTCATGCATGTTTTCATTTTCATCTAACTGAATACCAGTAAATGCTGTCTAGTTTGGCTTGTAGTGTTTATATTTTTCATGCAGACAGGTCTAACAGCAGATTTTTTTTTTTTTTAATAAAGAAATAACATTGTTAATTGTTTTATTTTTTTACAAACATTTGAAATTGTTATGCATTTAAATACAATGTACTGTCTTCATAGTACTGAAACGTAGTTAAAACTATAAGTGGAAGCACTTTTGTGACCTAAATTTGTAAACAGTGTGGAAAATTGCTGTAAATGTTGTAACCTAATTTCAACATAAAATTTTAAGTCAGTTCTTGTAAAATATATAGCTAATATATTAGTGCTTTGTTACAGCTTTGTAGAGGTGAGGTTGTGCATCCAAGTAAAATCCAAAACTATGTTTGGTGCATTATGTTAACATCTGAGTCACTCCTCTTTTTTGTTGTGGTACTGTGAAAAGTATACTGACTCGGCCAGCTGTCAAGTCCATAGGGGGGTCTGGGAGTAGAGAACTTTTGTGTACATGTTGTATGATGTATTCAGTGGATGAAGCTGCATATTTCAAGGCCCTGGGGAACTCCTAAGCCCCTGTGACCTTTACCTTAGTAGCTCCTCAGCACATACCTCTGTGTACTCTCCACACAGCCAGCTCAAGGCACCTCTGACAATGGCAAATCACACTAGCTCTGCAGCACAAGACAGTAAAAAGCATCTATTAAATATTCATATCACTCCTCCTTCAAACACTCCCTGTGCTGCCTCTGGATCAGCATTTCTCTGGAGGAGCCTCATCACAGTGGTCATTACTTTTCCAGCCCTCACCTGTTTGAGACCAAAATGACTCATAATTCTGTCGCTCATCTGATAAGGTCGTTGATATCTTGCCATGCCATCTGTGCACTGCAGCAAAACTCTGTAACCTTTCGCCGCATAAACTTTCTAATACCATGCCAGAACAGGAACTTGACCTTGTTCAAATATATTTTAATTTGTTTACATCAAGGTCCTCTGCGTTTACTTGTTGGGGGAATCATTTTTGAAGTTTTAAAAATCTTCTTGGCATGGCTCCTGCTGTGCTCAGATGTGGAGAGAAGCCATGTCTTAAAACAACATCACTTAAACACATTACAAGGGTGTTAGTTGCTTCAGAAAGCTTTATCAAGGCTCTGGCTGTGACATTCAATTCAAATCTGAGACCGACTTCAAATAATGACATGTACTCCTCTCAAAAAGGCATCCCGCTGGCATGAGAAAATAGTCCAGACATTACTAATGGAAAAATGTCATTAAAGTTCTGATACAAGTTCAAATATATATGTATAAATAGTTCTGATTTGATTCCATTTGGTGTATTGGAGAGTTGCTGACAGCTGCCCCACTGCTGAACGGTGAGGTAGTGATCGGGTTACAGCATATGGGACAGCAGCTCGGGAAATATCCCCTCATCAGTCAGAGTGGCGTGAAAACCTCCTTACAGGCAGCTCCCCTGAGCCACTCCACACACAGCCTCATGAAATATTTAACCGCCAGTGTTGACAAGAAATAGGTTTTAAGAAATAGAAAGTCTCCCTTTAATTTTCTAGTAAATGCAATTTTGTTCCCTCAAAGGCAGTCTGTGTTCCCCGACAGACTCTTGTGTGATATGTGCCCAATGTCTTTTCATGTTAAAGTCCTGACTTTCAGATGAGACTGAGAGTGGATGTGTCCTGTGTGCATTACTCAAATTAGATTCTGTTCATTTGATAGAAACAATAGCTCATTATCTTAAGGGGATTATAGCTTTTTATTTGACATATACTGACTTACATAAACTCATTGTTCACTGAAAGATCACATGGTTTATTCATTTCATGCAATTACAAGAATTTGATCACCTTCCCATTCCCTATTTTTCTTTGTGACATAGAGTACCCAAGGCCCTGCCAAGACAGAATTTTTATAATAGACATGATCTTGTCTTTGTGCTGTGGACCAGGGATTAATCAGTCTCTTTTGTTGGTGCTCCACGGCTTGTATTGAAATATGGCACTTAATATCATGGTCCTAAGAGATCCTTCTTGGATCATAAGTGAGAGGGAGACTAGCAAATTGGATGATTCCAATCATTCCAATTTGTTAAAAGCCCGATACATTGTTCAGGGAACAATAAGTCATCATTTAGGTGGCCTGGAACTGGCTACTCCTTCAGTTTTGTGAGTGTTCTCCTGTTCTTTTCAAGGACCCATACAATCTCTTGTCATTACAAAATGAATCACTCATATAGAGGAAAACAGTGCAGTGAAGGATGCACAGACCAGGCTTTTGGTACCTTTTGTGATCAATGGCTCTGTGCTTTTTCCAGTTAATCTGATCATTTGAATGACCTCTCCTTGTTGTCTCCTTGTTCTGTCCTCTGTTTGCTATTGTTATTATCTTTGATCTTTGAAGTCATCTTTTTGTGCTCTCCCCCTTTAAGATGCTACCCACTGCTATTTATTGCTTATCTGATTATAAAATGCTTTTGTTCACAACAGAGTATTTTATAATGCATAGTGAAGCTTTTCATTCAAGGAAAATTCAGAAAAAATTTAATAAAAATATTTAGTTCACATTGGTGCTGTATTATGTGTTACAGGTGCGTCTAGAGTGGCCCACAGACCTGGCTGTGAGTCCCATGGACAACTCCCTCTATGTGCTGGATAACAACGTGGTGCTGCAGATCTCAGAAAACCACCAGGTCCGAATTGTGGCTGGACGCCCCATGCACTGCCAAGTCCCTGGGATCGACCACTTCCTCATGAGCAAAGTGGCTATTCATGCTACGCTGGAGTCTGCTAATGCCCTGGCTGTCTCCCACACTGGTGTTTTGTACATCGCTGAGTCGGATGAGAAGAAAATTAACCGAGTCCGACAGGTGTCCACCAATGGAGAGATCTCTATTGTGGCTGGGGCTCCGAGTGGCTGTGACTGTAAGAATGATGCAAACTGTGACTGCTACTCAGGCGATGAAGGCTATGCTAAAGATGCTAAACTCAATGCTCCATCTTCTCTGGCTGTGTGCCCAGACGGAGAACTTTACATTGCAGATTTGGGTAACATCCGAATCCGCTATGTGCGCAAAAACAAGCCATTTCTGAACCCTCTCAGTATGTATGAAGTGTCATCTCCCATTAATGACGAGCTCTATCTTTTTGACTCCAATGGCAGCCATATTTATACACAAAGTCTGACTACTGGAGACCATCTGTATAACCTTACTTACAGTGGAGCAGGAGATCTGAGCACCATTACAGACAAAAACAAAAATACAATCATTATAAGACGGGACACTACAGGGATGCCTCTGTGGCTCATGGTTCCTGATGGACGGACATTTTGGTTTACCATGGGAACTAACAGTGCTCTGAAGAGCGTTGGAGCTCAGGGTCAAGAGTTAGCCTTGATGACCTACCACGGCAGCTCAGGACTTCTAGCTACGAAGACTAATGAGAATGGATGGACAACCTTCTATGAGTAAGTACCCAATATATTATTTTTTACATGTTGTCAATAACTGAATTTCTGCCAAGCAACTTTCATACAGACCTCATTTGTTTTATCTGATTGTTGCTATTATGTGTTACGATGCCAAATGGGATTAAATTGATGTCCATTACTTGCAAGTCCAATATGGCGAATATCATTTCATGATCAACAACAACCTATATTTACATACATAACATACTGCAATGTTATATCTTATATAGGGCCAATGAAAAGCAGATAAAACTAGCACTTTTAAATGATGATGGTCACATATTGCCTCTAAAGAAAATAATGATTATAATATGTTGTGTAGTTGTCATGATTATAGCAATTTAAAACAAATATATCTGCAATCTAGACATATGTTTTTACTGACTTATCTGTACAATAGACATGTAAAGGACAAACCATGCATTCATATAAAAAAAGACTGTAAGAGTAAAGGTATATCTTTACTGGTGGAGGGTCTCCATGGAGATGTTATTGCTTTGCCTGGAATGATCCATGGTATGACTTTAAACATTTCCATCTAGCATTTATAAATTACAGGTGTTTCTATTACTCAAAAACACAATAATTCCTTCTGTGAATAGGGGTGACTCTCCACAGATCTGAACTGTGATATAGCATAGTGCTATAACGTGTTTTTCTCCCTCCCATAGGTAGGTTCGGTCTATGTTGTGAAACTTTCTAGACAAAACACTAACATTTCCATAGAGACAAACAGGTAGAAATGCTACATACTGCACCTTTAAGTAATAGGTTGTAGTAACATTTTTGTTACCGTGCAATCTGTACTGTAGCTTAATTCAATTGGGAAACTTTGCTAATTGGATGATTTCAAAATGTGTGATTAAGCAGATAAGCTGACCAGGCATCTGTTACACCTCACTGCCGTAATATAACACTTTGACGTCACATCAGCTCCTCCAGTTAATTTAGGCAGACGTCTTGTATCACCTGCATTGCGTTTGGTTGTCATTTGAGACAACGATGCAGTGAAAATGGCACCCAGAGCAGCCAAGCACGGCCATATCTCAAGGTAGAGTTGATTGCCTCCAGCCTCAACAAAAACAAGTTCAGTGGGTGGTTAGAATAGTCAATTATTTCTCCTGGCTTTTTATAAAATGGCTGCTGGTGGTGACAAGTTTTTGTGTCTCAGCTGTTTAATATGAGAACAATGATGCACAGAAAAGACACTTGAGGATTTCAAGATCTTGTTATATAAAGATTCACATTGTTCTCTATAATGCTGCTTCCAGATGCAATATCAAAACACCGAATATTTAAGTTTTTAATTATCCAACTGTTATTCCCTTTGCTGTGGTACTTTTCTGAAAACACAAGTTACAAAACACAATAGAGCTTTCACAATGTCAGTTCGAAAACTCTTTAAAATACCTGCTTCTGAATAACTACACTTGTCCATTATTATCTCTCATAATCTACAAATATAAATTTTCCACAGTTTTATTATAGCCTTATGCACTTGGAGGTCACCACATTTTAAGCCCCCAGAGGGTTTTTGGTAAGCACCCTTCACATTCCATTGTAGAAAGTATTTTATTCTGTATTTTTTACCAAGTGAAAACAAATGCAATGAAAAACTAATTAAACATTTCTTTATGAAGACAACAGTATGTACCGCATCTAATTGAACAAATCATTTCTCTTTTACTGTTTGCCTCATACATTTCTGTCAAGATTATATTTACCTCCAAGCCGTTCAGCTCACCAATCCTTTATTAAGAGCCAATGAAAAGTGTTTGCTGTTAAATAATTAGCTTTGAAGGTCACTTCTCCACCCGCGGGTGTAAACAATAATTTGCTAGCATCACAATGTCCATTTATCTCTGCTCACCAAAGTGCACAGCTAACCATTTTAGCCATATTAATTAATGCTTGCTTGCATCCTGTAACCTATAGAGCGACAGAGGGAAGCACAAGGACAAAGTGTAGTACAAAAGAGATTGTGTGTTTAGTGGTTGTGGTGTCACCCTTGACCACATCATGCGCATTGACATTTGCAGCATACACAGATGCTCAGCTGGCCTCCTGGCGTTTCTGCTGCTATGATAAGTGCTTATACTTAAAGGTTACTGTAAATACATTAAATCATGCACTTTCACTGGATGCCTAATTGCAGCTTTAGCCTCCAATTAAGGGGGCAGGAATGCTCACATTTAACACATGTCTGTCAGTCATATTGTTTCCCATTGTCAAATATTGAGCCCAAAAACATTTAATCAGTTTTACCTCAAATAAAACAACACACAAAATTGTTGTTAAATAATTCCAACACTTGTAAGTTGATCTTATCTTTGAACAACTGCATTTTTTTCTGGATTTATTATTGCCATTTTAATGAAAGAAAACAAAAAAAAACAAACAAAAGTAAATGCCACAAATATTGAATTTTATCTACAGTGCCATAAAACAATATTGCAATAAAACATTACATTAAAATATTACTTTATCTGGGGCTTGATAAAACAATCAACATGAAACAACTGGGAAATACTACAATAATAACTGTTAAGCTTGAGTAACCTGGCCTGTTGCATTGTCCCAGCATGAAAGGTCACAGAGCTCACATGTGACACAAGGTGATGCAATCTGAATGGACTTGTGACCATCCAGGGGGAAAGCAGCCGTCTCCGTCTGCCGAGCGCCGTGCCCCTGCGTGCCCTTCGTGTCCACAGAAAGCCAGCTAATAGGCAGTTGAGTTGAAGCAGGCCACAGCTATTAAAGCTCCGGAGTGAAGCCCAAGGAATTGCTCCAGCTTCAGGCCCTAATTGAGAACGAGAGACTCTGGGTCAGTGATCAAGCTGGGCTGCGAAGAATGAGGTCTCTGTCGTGTGGGCGCGGTCTTTTGTGAAGAGGTGAAGGCAAACAGGAACACTCGCTTTGTCCAGTAAAAGGAACAGTCAAAAGCAGCACACCTCTCATAACCGACCACAACCAGGTCAACCAGGTCTTCTACGTTCACAGAAATATGTCTTGCTCTTGTGAAATATTAGTCAAATCAAAAGTATTCAAATGCTTTCTACATAATTTACAGTTTTTTTTTTTTTCGTATTTCCTGAATCTCTCCTCTCTAGTACATGTGAAATGAAATAACATTTTTATCAGGGCATAAGTCTCCCACTATTCCCTTCAATACTGGGTACTTGAGAAGGCTGCACTGTAGAAATATCAGTAAACCAGATGCCGATATCCTATTTGTTACTTTACTATGGCATGCAGCAACATTGAGAATGGTTTTCTATTCTCTGCATACAGAGATCGTACTATAGTACATAGTTATCGTATGTCCCACCATAGAGCCCTAGCAGTCTAAAGGCTTTAAATGGTTGATGTCAGTGCAGTTTCTGAATAAAATGAAACAGTCTCTCCATTCACATCATGATGAACACAGTGATTTGTAGGCTGAGCAGATACTGCATTGCTCAAGAAAACTGCCCTTAATTTGTAAAACTGTTTATCGTATAACTTTATGGTTACATTAATTACAGTTTTATTTATTATATAATATAATATTTGTAAACTGTCTACTACTTTAAATGTAAAATACCTGCAGCAGTGCTTTCAACATTAAAATAAAAATGTTATTTCAGGGATAGTTTTACATAGCATTAAATGATTATTACATTATATTTTTACTGTCGTATAGGCTTTCATCCAAACTTTCTATTACCTCTTGATCATATTTGGTGTGACATCTACCCCTTTCAAAGTGTTGCTAATGTGGGTCCTCAGCCCATTAATCTGTTCATGCATGTCTACCTTGTATTTCAGAGAATCATCCTAATCTCATAAAAGCATACCCTGTGAATTTCCCTCAACACTGTTTGTCATTCTGTTGTGGTAGTACTCCACTGCAGTTTGAGGTGACGTGCCCTGCTTGGCTTCTCTGCCTCTGATCAGTGTATGTCTTTGTAGGTATGACAGTTACGGCCGTCTGACTAACGTCACTTACCCCACGGGCCGCGTGAGCAGCTACCGAACGGATGCCGACAGCTCGGTCCGCATCCAGACAGAGGGCTCCAACAAAGAGGATATCACCGCCACCACCAACCTGTCAGCCTCTGGCACCTTCTACACACTCATGCAGGGTGAGTGCTTTACTGTGCATAAACAGAGCAGGTGCACAGGTTTCCCAACTAAAGCCAAATGCCCGCACAAAAACATCTTTAATATTTAGCATAGGATTACAATACACAATGGATGTCAATAATTTTTTTAAATATCTTTATTAAAATTCGCTTTTGAGCAAAGATTATGATTATATGATAATATATATTATATAATTATTTTGTAACTATGAATTGGCAAAATGTATCCATTTAAACTTGTGCAGAGTTATACATATGCAGATTTCAGCATTCAACATTGAATCCACTGTAGAATTCTATTAAAGTGCCTGCAGAAAGTTGCCCATGAATCATCTGACCTTTCGTTTGGATAGATTTACCCTAAAGGCCTTGGCCTGACCCCTCAAGTGTCTTTATGATGAAGAGAGGGAGGTTAGAGCGAGGTCAGCCCTGGCACCTCTGCCTATTTCTCAGCAGAGCACCACACACTGCAGCACTATGCACTGCTAAGCAAAAGACAACATAATAGTTTAGAAAATTCCTGAACTTCTTGACATGCTAAATTGTTATTTGTTAAATAATTCATGCATGATAGGATTGATAAACCATTAATTTCATGCAGGCCTTAATGGGAGCAGTATTAATCCTGATCTGTGTGTGGATGTACAGACAGGAGGCAGAAAGGAGGCGTCGCCTGATGAATGTGCATGAGATGCACAGTGGAAGCATTAGTCACTGGTCTGAGGCTGTCGTCACCTGGGGACAGTAACAGACAGGCTCAGATTTATCCCTCTGTCGCTGTGTGTGTGTGTATGTGAGTGTGTGCATACAGTATGTGTTGCACCTTGCTTCTCTATGGCCACAGGCGAGCCAGCAGCTTTGATAGTTTTCATTCCCGTATATCCTCCAGGCTGCTGCAACAGCTGTAAAACTTTACTTTACTGGCGCTGTGAAACCTCTCACTATTGATCTTTGTTGTCACAGGCCCAGCATTATTGCAGGGGTTCAGTTAAATACTGCCGCTAAAGGCCTCCTTTCTGCTGAGCCACCATTTTAGATCATTATGTTTTAGTTTTTCTCTTGTTATTATATATATTTATATATTTATTGCTGTTTATTTATCAAGGAAAGATGCCTCAGCTTTTGTACTGATTGTTTCCTAATCGGAATGTTCCTAGATCAAGTACGCAACAGTTACTTCATTGGTTTGGACGGATCTCTGCGCCTGGTTTTAGCCAATGGGATGGAGGTGTCTCTGCACACAGAGCCCCACCTCTTGGCCGGCACTGTCAACCCCACTGTCAGCAAGAGGAACGTGACCCTGGCCATTGACAACGGGCTCAACCTGGTGGAGTGGAGGCAGCGCAAGGAGCAGGCGCGGGGCCAGGTCACTGTGTATGGCCGCAGACTCCGGGTAAGATTTCACAGTTACACTAATACAGAGACACGTTGTTTACACTGCACAAAGTAAACCAGCATTATTCTACATACAATACAGGAAACATCAAGAGAGCTCATTAATCGATTAGTGATCCTTATATACATATGTAGGCTGTTATCATGTATAAAATACCATGAACTGACTTTTCAGCTTTCCAGACCCTCTTTTATGTGACAAATGCTATTAAGGGATTTAGGCTGTTTATCAAGCAAAGCACAACTTTGGTTAAGTTGCCTCTCTGGGAGGTGACAGCGCTAATGAGGAGGTGCCACTTTTTCTGTCAATGGTAGTACATTTAATAGCCCTATCACCCTCCAGACGTGTGAGCCTCTAATGTATGTTACAGACAATGGCCCCAGGGGTGAGATGGGAAATGGGAGCAGCCTAATGGCAAGAACAGAATGGATGAACAGAGCGGGAATCATTGGGCGACCTTGAGTGGCATGTCAAGTGATATTATGTGGGTGGCTGGGTGAGTGTGTGGTAGCGGGGGCGGAGGGGGCAGAGCTGCTGGATACAGAGCAGAAGAAGCGAGGAATGCACAAAAAGAGGCAATGTGGCCCTGACTTCACAGATCTGCCTTGTACAAACAATGAGCACAGATGACGACAGGAAGTTGAATCGCTGCCTGTTGTCTGGATCTTCAGCACGCTGACTGCTCATGCAAAGCTTTGTTAGGCTCAGTCTGTGTGGTAAACAGGTCTCCCTTCACCCCCTACACAGCAACACGTGATACTTGGATTCCTCCATGCAATATCTTACATTTGTATTAAATATAGGCTAGTGAATGTAGTTAACAAGGAGTCATACACTGGATTTGAATAAATGAAGAGGGAAATTATTAGTTTTTGAGCTGAAAAGCCAAGAGAAACAAGTTACAACTGAATGTTATTACAAAAATCATCTTATGTCTAGCACTACTATTTCAGTCAGAACAGCCGTGGTTGTAATATTGCTTAATTCACTATGTTCAAAATAATAAAAAACACTGTGACCTGCCTAACCAAACAACAATGATTTTTAGATGTGGACGATTTGAAGACCAATAAAAACAATTATTCGTCATAAGTAAAGATAAAAGCCAATGTCATTCATATAATGGCAGGTTGTACTTCTGACACAAATTTATTAATATTGATGTAAAGATGTAATGTGTTGCTGTAAGGTTTTATGTTGGGTCAGGGAAAACTAGACCTACTGTATTTCTTTATATTTCCAACACCCTCTCTTCTGCTTTTTATTTTTTTTGTACAAGAGGATATGTTCAATTTAAAAGTAATTCTTCCTGAGTGGGTTTCCATTCTCATGGGATCTTTGGATCTCAGCTGTAAGAGTTTTTTACACCCTGTCAAGTCTTTGGCCAACCAGATCCTGAAACGTTCTCTGTCTTTTACTCCTTATTTTCTGCTAAAGGCAATCTCAATAAACTCACCCTATGTTGAGGCTCCAGGAAATCGCAGAAGCTGAAGCAGCCTCTAGTCGTTCACTCAGATAAAAATGCTGTTTTTCATAAATATCCTGTGGTGATTGCAGCTAAATCAGAGCCTAATATTTCTGCATTCAAGTTTGGCTTAGATATTTTTTGAGTTATTTACTTTTCACAAACTGTGCTGGGTTTTGGTAGCTACTGTATTGCTGTGAGTATTTACTGTCTTTTGGGTTGTTCATATTTTTTCCAAATTTTTCACACCAAAATGTATATATTTTTTTACACGTTGATCACAGTAAATGTTATACATAGTTTAACATAGTCATTTTGTTAGATAGTATAAAATATAAAATCCACTTTTCACAGTGTAGTGTATTTGCCAAGTTTAAGCCTTACTATTACCTGCATCCTATTCCAGTACAGTTTGGTGTACAGATGGACAGTTGTGCCAAAATCCTGTGTTTGCTTCATTTTTGGCCAAACCATAGAGCTTCCTCAAACACAAAACATGAAAGTTGCTTTGTCTCTGCACTGACCTGAACATGGCCTGAAGGATTACTCTCAGAGCTGTGATCACAGAGGAGCCAAGGGTCAGCTGTGTGCATTCAAGACTGAAAGTGTCATCAAAGTAGTGGGAAATGTGCAAAAAGAGAGTTTTCTGCACATTAAATACATATCATTTAACAAAGAATCATATTGGAATCTATATTTTCCCAAAATGTCTGTTATATCGGGCTACTTTATCTGTAATTTGTTTAATAATGCCTAGGACTGCACAATATATCACAACAAAGCAAAATAGCAATTTGAGTTGGTGCAAAGTGTACGCAGTGTCTGCGTACACAGGTGTATGAATATATGTGTGTGAATGGGTGGGTGGTTCCTTGATGTAAACACTTTGACTGTTTTGAAGGTAGAAATGCACTATATAAAAATGCAACCATGACCATTTAATTTGATTTTTTTTAAATCATGCAGCTCTAATAATATTCTCTGTTTGCCTCTGTTCTAGGTTCATAACAGGAACCTTTTGTCCCTGGACTTCGATCGTATCACTCGTACAGAGAAAGTATATGATGACCACAGGAAGTTCACACTGCGTATCCACTATGACCATGCTGGGCGCCCCACGCTCTGGGCCCCCAGCAGTCGCCTGAATGGGGTGAATGTCACTTACTCCCCCGGGGGCCACGTGGCTGGGATCCAGAGGGGAACCATGTCTGTGCGCATGGAGTATGACCCTAACGGCAGAATTACCTCTCAGATCTTTGCTGATGGAAAATCATGGACATACACCTATTTAGAAAAGGTATCCTCCTCTTCCTTTCTCCTTTTGTTTGAATAAAAATAGATCAGACTCTACTCAGACTTGCCTGTGAAGGATAAAAAAGTGAAATGTTTTTGTTGTTCTTGTCAATTTAGTTTGAAACCACAAAGATGTTGTTCTGATAATATATGGAGAGTTTGATGTGTAATTTCTAGATGTTCAATGTTAAATGTAGCATTCTTGGGGAGTGTTTGCACTGCCTTATCACCAATAGCAGAGATATCAACAGAAAAGTAATTAAAAGCTGTCTAGTTCACCCGAGACATGATCCTGTGTTGCGAATATGACAGCAAAGTTCATCCTGAAATAACTCACATGACAGGAACAGAATGAAATGTCACTTTCTTCTCACTAATTGAAGCCAGGTTTGTTGGTGGAAAGGTGAAGCATTTCTCCAGCTAAGACATGCAATAGAAATAGAAGCTCTTCACCTCGTTAATGGTCTACTTTAAGTTTTTCATTGACTCTAAATGCTAGGTTCTGGCAGCTTGCTGTGACAGCTTTTAAACTAGTACAAAGACTTGATTTATCAGTCCAAAACGGAAAGCGATGGAAATCTTTCAGTAGTGGAAAAAACAGCTTGTTCAGAGTGGTTGGATCAAAAGACGCTTAGATTATAAAAAATAATATGAAGCATGAGCAAGAGTGGGTATGGTGCACTAAAAGGAAAAACAATCAAATATCACTTTCAAGATTAAAATAGATTTGTTCAGACTGCGGCTTAATGTGTAATTGCTTCTGACATTTTGTTTGTCCTTTGTGATAAGACGCTGAAAACCCATATAACCTAATAATCGTAATGCTTTTCCTGTTCTTGTCCACAGTCGATGGTGCTGCTTCTGTACAGCCAAAGGCAATACATCTTTGAGTTTGACAAAAACAACAGATTGTCTTCTGTGACGATGCCCAACGTGGCTCGTCAGACCCTGGAGACCACCCACTCCATCGGTTACTACAGAAACACGTACCACCCGCCCGAAGGAAACGCCTCGGTGCTACAAGACTATAGTGAGGACGACCAGCTGCTGCAGACTACCTATCTGGGCACGGGGCGCAGGATCATCTATAAATACGGCAAACTAGCCAAACTACTGGAAATCCTCTATGACACTACACGAATAGGCTTCTCTTATGACGAAGTGGCAGGGATGCTTAAGACTGTGAATTTGCAGAGTGAAGGTTTTACATGCACGATTCGTTACAGGCAAATTGGTCCACTTATCGACAGGCAGATTTTCAGATTCAGTGAGGAGGGCATGGTCAATGCAAGATTTGATTACGTCTATGACAACAGCTTTAGAGTGACAAGCATGCAAGCTGTAATCAACGAAACACCTCTCCCAATTGATTTATACCGTTATGACGATGTATCCGGCAAAACTGAGCAGTTTGGCAAGTTTGGTGTTATTTATTATGACATCAATCAGATTATCACTACAGCGGTAATGACCCACACTAAACACTTTGACGCTTATGGGCGGGTGAAGGAAGTACAATATGAGATCTTCCGCTCCCTCATGTACTGGATGATGGTGCAGTACGACAACATGGGCCGTGTGGTTGCTAAGGAGCTGAAAGTTGGTCCCTATGCCAACACAACGCGATACACTTACGAATATGATGCAGATGGACAATTACAAGTTGTGTCCATCAATGATAAGCCTTTGTGGAGGTACAGCTATGACCTCAATGGAAACCTGCACTTGCTTAGTCCAGGAAATAGTGCCAGACTGACCCCTCTACGTTACGATATTAGAGACCGAATCACTCGCCTGGGAGATGTCCAGTATAGAATGGATGAAGATGGTTTCCTTAAGCAAAGAGGCAATGATTATTTTGAATACAACTCTGCTGGTCTGCTGATTAAAGTGTACAACAAAGTGAGTGGGTGGAGCATCAAATATCGCTATGACGGCTTAGGGAGGAGGGTGTCTAGCAGGAGCGCAACTGGACATCACCTACAGTTTTTTTACGCAGATCTGTCTAGCCCTACACGTGTAACTCACATGTACAACCACTCCAGCTCAGAAATTACCTCTCTGTACTATGACTTACAAGGACACCTATTTGCCATGGAGCTGAGCAGTGGGGATGAGTTTTACGTAGCCTGTGATAACATTGGCACTCCTCTAGCGGTCTTTAGTGGTTCTGGAATCATGATCAAACAGATTCTGCACACAGCGTTCGGAGAGGTCTACTTGGACACTAACCCCAGCTTCCAGCTCATTATCGGGTACCAGGGGGGTCTGTACGAGCCCCTGAGCAGGCTGGTGCACATGGGGCGCAGAGACTATGATGTCCTCACGGGGCGCTGGACCACACCCAATCACAACATCTGGAAACGCCTCAACAGTAACCACATTGTACCATTCAATCTGTATATGTTCAAGAACAACAACCCCCTGAGCAACAACGAAGAGATCAAGTGCTACATGACAGGTATGTTAAAATGAATATCATTGCTGAGTTTTATTTTCTATAGAGCAGTATTTAACACAGAAAATGTATATTGTTAAAATGCTGATTTTGCTGTAATACAGTGAATTCTTGGGGCTAGTCAATAATAGAAATGATCATCTTCAACATTTCTGAATTTAACTTCTTAGATCTATCATGGCGGTACAGTGTTGTTGTTTATTAAATGTTTATTAATTTGTATGTTTACACCAATTAATTTCCTAAGGCTGAAATGTGTGCAGCAGCTGAGAATATATTTGTGTGGTTAATAATAGAGCATTAATTGAAGAATAGATGCTGCCAAAAACTGAACAGGTTTCAAGAGCGTTCTCATTGGGAGGCCGGGGTTGCTCTGTTGTGGAGCCTCTGAAGGTTAGGTGCTCCAGGGGAACAATTCTGTACGGCAAAGCAACCTCTGTTGTTAAATACCCAGGTCTCTTCACTGGAAATATAGTATCACTCTGTGTTGCTTTGTGGTAGGCAGGAGGTAAATGGCTATGAAAGCACCCCAGTGGAGAAGCAGAGCACAATAGATCCATAGAAGGCTCAGCCAGGTCTGTCTGTAGCCGCCTCTGAGGCTGGAAGCAAAACAGCTTTTGTCAGAGACACTGTAGCGAGAAGCCTTTATAAATGTGTGACTTGTCTTTGTGCCACATTCTAGTTAGAGATCTGTAGAGTTGTATCTTATTTTGTACTCAAAAATGTATTAAAAAAGCTCATTATCATAATTTTCTACACATACATAATTACATACATTTACACAATGCAAAAGTTAAAATGACTTAAATTAATAAAATGTTATCTTGATTTGAGTAAACTCTGCATGTAAGAAAAACTACATACCAATGGAACAAGTCTTTTTGTACTTAAAATAAGAAAATACATATGGTATACTGAAGATAAGAAAAACAACAAGTCTTTGCACTTAAAATAAAAAAAACTAAATCTTATGTTGTTTCAAGCAAGAATAATATTTATTCCAGTGGTAGATAATTTTACTTGTCAAGTCAAATCTACTCAAATCAATTGAAATATTATTAATTTGAGTAATTTGAACTTACTTAAATATTACATAATGTGAAGTATATTTGACCAAGCTGCATTTTATCTTCAGAGTCTACCATTAGGCACTGATTGGCATTTGAATGCAAGGTAGCCTGGGTCTACCTGAAACATAATTGATTGCGCCAACATTTTCATTCCTTTGACTACATCACCCTATCCACTGATTGTTCAAAAGACCCACCTTACATCAGGGACACCGAGAACACATTAATACAAGCTACTCTGGTGGTTTTCCCTTTTGCCTGGCTCCATGGTTTAGTGTTTATGTGATATTCAAGATAAATGGATTACTGGAGGTGATATTGACTCACTTTATGCAGCTGCTATTAGATCAGTGTTATTGTATGTCATGGTTACAAACATGAGAATCACATGGACATTTATTTTTCCCCATTTTCAAATAACTACTCTTGTTATGGTGCTTAGCGTTGACATGAAATTACACGTTTTAATTATGAGCGCAGTGGACACTCGGAGATGTCACTGTGGGACCCAGCTGCGTGTCATTAGGGTGGCACCTGCAGCAGTGGACATGATTCACAGCCTCTATTTCAAGTGTTTATTACAGCCTGCCCTCTTTTCCCAAACAAATAAAGTGCTCAAACTAAGTGAGGAGTGCTTCGAGGAGACAACCACTTGACTCCACAATGTCAAACTGTTTAGGCCAAATAAATTGATTTTTCACAAATGTCAGCAGTGGCTACAGACAACTGTGTCTCGTGAAACAAATAATTATATACATGTCTATGCCGTTTTCTCCGCAGATGTGAACAGTTGGCTGGTAACATTTGGCTTCCAGCTGTACAATGTGATCCCAGGTTACAGAAAGCCAAACACAGAAGCAATGGAGCCGTCTTATGAGCTGGTACGCACCCAGATCAAGACTCAGGAATGGGACAGCACCAAGGTAATACACTCGACAAACTTTCACTCAAATCAGCATTAAAATACTCATCTTTCTGCATCATTAGCGAATAGATAACGAGCATGTCTGCAGTCCCAGTGAAAGTGCCAGCAATCAGGCTTGAGCACGACCCAGTGAGCCAGGCCCTGCTCCAGTCCTCTTCTTGGGGAATGGGGTCAGACTAAACAGCCCTTGTAATTGCTGTGCCATTAGGGAAATTCTCTCCATCCCCTCCACCACCGACCATTGATTTCATCTCAGGTTTACACTGTTAGCCAAGGTCTGAGAAGTATCAGACATGACTCTGGTTTGTGCATTTATCAAGCCCTTTTAAGTTGCCTCCAGCTCACCTAAATTATTGACAAGGCAGTTTTACTCGTAGCTTTGGTTACAGTGACACTAGTGAATGCCACCCAGGAGGAGACCAGACCTATGTCAAGTGACACTCTCCGGTCTCCTTGGTGCCATTAAAATGCATTCTTATCTGTGTGAAGGCTGTGAGCTGCAGGGATTATACAATGCACTGTTATGTAAATCAGTGACCTGTGGTTCCAGCGAACACAAGAGGAGTCATATTTACAGTCTGTGCAGATAGATGTAACCTGCTGGATACTACCTCCAGTGTCTTTAGTCTGTATCAGAAAAACATGAAATAATTTGTTGAATATTGTAGCAGCTCTTGGGGTCAAAATAAGTTTGCTGAGTGCTGGCTGCATCTAATTTGAGTTTTTGTACAATAATCAGGAAGTGCACTTTTAGCTTGCTGCAAAACTCCACACTGGTCTCAGAGTTCTGAAAAGTACTTATATACTCATTGCGGTGAATAATTAGGTTGCTCAGAATGCATAAGGTAAGTGAGAAATAACTAGTTTGGACCACTGCCAACCATTTAAAATGAAGTAGTTCCATTTTTCATGTTTGTAAGACAGTACAATTCAAGTAGCGACTTTAATTTACATTAGTATCATTGTAATAACTATAAGTAATAGTATAATGTATGGTCAGATAGTGAAGTATAACATAAATTCACTATGAATTGCCATTCACAATATTACTATGTTTTGTAGTAAATCGTACAGCCTTACCAGATTTTATGCAGTATTACAGGTGACCTCAAAAATTAATTCAAATTATAGTAGAAAGTACAAATACAATATCTCTACTCCTGAAAATAGATGTACAATTTATTTGAGCAGGAGTCTTGTTTAAAAACATCATGATTTATTTAGTATTTCTGACCTTGTCCTCCCTTTCACTACACTTGTACTATGTATAGAGATTCGGTTTCGGTCTCTCAAGGTAGTAATCTACAAAGGAGCTGCATCACAGGAGCTATCTAATTGAATCCAACACATTCCGCCTATTTCCATTTCAAATATTTGAAAGCAGATATGATGGAATAGAGGTGTAGATAAGAAAGAATAAACGCAACACTTATTTTTGAGATACAGTTGCAATTTTGACCAAAGCGGTAGTTACCTTGGATCTCACAAATGAACCAATCTTTCAAATAGCAGAAGAAATATTATCAGCAAGCAATTGAACCCCTCTGCCAAAATGATTCAACTGTATTTTTATGTGAATAACAGCAGCACTAAGCACAGAGAGAGGTCTGAACAAAACAGTGCATTCTTCCGTATCTTTAAACATTTTCTGAAACCTTAAATCAGTTATTTTCAAATAAATTTGACTAATAATATCAACACAGCCAGTAATTTATTTAAAAAACTCTCATTATTGTTAGACAGCGGGTAAATGAGGCTTTAAATAGCTAAGTTAACCTAGATTTGGAGGTTTTGCTGGTGTTTGTGAATCATTTGGGAGTTGTCTTTCTTTCTTCATACCTTTAGAAGTGATCACCAGGGAAGATGAAGATAATTGCACTTTACTCTGCACACATGTTATTTTTGTCTAGAAAGCTGCACGCTCCAGGCACGTGCTCTGAGCTGCTTAAAGCCTACTTGATCCTCATGACATATTCCCTGAATGTCCTCATTAAAATACTGTAGAACTTTTTTTTATTTGCTTTACCAATTTTACAAGAAACTGGTGTGTTTTAGCTCAGATTGTGTTTTAGTTCGAATTTAGGAAAGTTTAGTTTTTTATTTTACCTTTTCGCTACATTTAACCCATGTTGCATGTATGAATGCATTAAGTGATGGTAGTAAGAGGTACCTCATTGTTAACCTGACAGCAAGCTCTAAAGTAAGTCTGGAGACATGAATATAATTACTAACCTTTTGAAATTACTGCAAACAATTTAACCTTTTCAACTAATTATTTTTCTTTATTAAGACCTACATAGTAGATACCTTTAACATGTAGGATACTGTGCATACCTTATGAAACCGGGAGTAGGTGTGCCTGTGTCTCTGTCTTTTCATTGAAAGTCTTATTTCGTCATGCTGCTACTCCCCTCTCTGATTGAAAAGCGGCGTGCGGAGGCAGACCGATGAGCTGTGTTCTGCTCCAGCCTTGATCTCTCATTCAGGATGGGGATGGCTGCTGCTTGTAGCTGTGCAGTAAGAGATGTTCCTCTCTGGGCGTGTCCTGGAATGCTTTTGGAAGAAACAGAGAAGGGACTATGGTGCTAGATGTGCACAAGATTATAAAACACACAATATTACATAATTCTTTTGAATAATGTGTATTGTATTGCATTTTACACTGCAATACAGTAAGTGTCAAATTATTTTGATGATTGATGATCATTTTGACTTTATTGCATTATTTTATATTGAGCCAAAGCAAATCATTTAGATTTTGTGATGTATACATTGTATATGTGAATTAAACATAATTTAATTGTAAAAGGTAACATATTTAAATATGGTCAGCATTTGACCTTGTTTCATTACTTGCTTGAATGCCAATTTGGCAATTATGGAGTTTGCAGACTTTAGCTATATTTAAATTCTTAGAATAAATAGTTATATTTCCAAAACATTAAACCTGTGATGTATTGTGCAGCTAGTGCTCTGGGGACAGCTGACCCGGTCATCATATTTACCCTGTAAACAAACATGGTGTGGCGTGGTGTGAAGTGTCGCGTGGGGGGCAATTGGTCCCAAGAGGTGCACCCGTCCAGCTGCCCCCACCCCCTTCCTCATCCCTCACAGCACCCTCCCTTCTCAAATGGATGGTCGGAGGTGGTCACTGCAGCCTTCGCCACTGTGCCTGAAGCCATCTCCTGACCGGCCGCACAGACCAATTTAGAGCTTGACAGTCTGAGCAGCTGATATAAATCCTAAGAAAGTCTGCAGCCTCTCGTGACGCACACTAGGCACAGACTCGGAGCTTGCTTTGTCGTGGCTTAGATGTGTTCTGGCTCAACACTTTTCTGGCCTCTTTCCACTTCATATGATTCCCTTCATTTGAATCATTTGAGTCTCTTTTCCTTCCAGAGAGTATCAGCCGTCAAGTAGCATTAAGACAAAGTAATAATTTTGGCTGAGGGGTCGTGGTGTCCATACAGTGCTTTGATCCTAAAGCGAGGGAAATATGCCCTGGTTTGGAGCAACTCATGCCTCCTATTTGGTGTGGCATGGCTGTCACAAAACAGTTATTTCACCCCTTTTGAAAATATCACGGCTGTCACCAATGATCAGAGAGAAGTGCATTAGCCGACAGACACCTCCTCGGCCTACCTCAAGAACGTGAGATCCATTTTCATCTTCAAAGCTGCACATAATTTGTTTTCATTGATAGCAACTCAGGGGGAATTAACTCTTTATCTTGATACATCTGATCAAATGATATCAAGATTATTCACTTCAGACTCCTCAGGTATCAAAGGAAAGTAAGAGGGACCCATTGTCATTTGTCAATATAAGATTTCTCAAATGAGAAAGAGGATTTTATTTTATTTAACACAAAATACATGATATGAATAAGCTAAAAATATACACACACATATATATGTGTATGTGTACAGGTCCAATTTCAATTCCTTTGGATGTACATGTACATGTGAAGAAACTGATATATATATTATTATTATTATTTATTTATTTATTTATTATTTTTTATTATTACATTACATACATACATACACATCACACATATACATACTGTTTCTTTGTTTGTGACAAACGTTGTTTGTGACCACATTGTTCTGTTTTCTAGTCACTGCTGGGAGTCCAGTGTGAAGTGCAGCGGCAGCTCAAGGCCTTTGTGAAGCTGGAGCGGTTTGGACAGATCTACAGCGCCAAAAGTGCTGGATGTCCCCAGACGGAGGACAAGATCCTGTTTGCCTCTGGGGGCTCTATCTTTGGAAAGGGGGTGAAGTTTGCCATTCGAGAGGGCAGGATCACCACAGACATCATCAGCCTGGCCAATGAGGATGGGCGGCGTATGGCTGCAGTGCTAAACGATGCTTTCTACCTGGAGAACCTGCACTTCACCATCACTGGAGTGGACACACACTACTTTGTGAAGCTGGGCTCTGTGGAGGGAGACCTAGCTCTCATTGGAATGACAGTAGGTCGCCGCACTCTGGAGAACGGGGTCAATGTGACCGTGACGCAGGTAAACACTGTGCTGAACGGCAGGACTAGGCGCATCACGGACATCCAGCTGCAGTACGGCACTCTATGTCTGAACACGCGCTACGGTAGCAGCGTGGACGAGGAGAAGGCACGTGTGCTGGAGTTGTCTCGGCAGAGGGCTGTGTCCCAGGCCTGGGCCAGAGAGAGACAGAGACTGCGGGATGGGGAGGAGGGTTCCCGCACGTGGACTGAAGGAGAGAAGCAGCAGCTGCTGGGCTCAGGCCGGGTGCAGGGCTATGATGGTTACTACGTGGTGTCAGTGGACCAGTATCCCGAGCTGGCCGACAGCGTCAACAACATCCATTTCATGAGACAGAGTGAGATGGGCCGCAGGTGACATGAGCCAGGTGCTCTGGGACCACACTCTCATGTGGGACTTCTTGCCAAAGACAGTTGTGTACATGACCACTTTTGTTTTCGTTGACTGTGCTCAACTTCTTTTATAATAACCTGGAAAAAAGAAGAAACATGGTTGCAATCAGTTGCACTGTATTAAGAGAAGAGTGCCCTTCTTTAACAGTCTTTGCCCTCCAAGTGCGGCTGCTAGAGGATGAACATTAACACGTGTGACTTATTTTTACGATGCCATTTCCTCGTGTGGCCGGTGATTCAGAGGAACCCGAGAGGAGTACTGGTAATGCATTTTGTTCACTGGCTCACCGCTGCCAGACTTACAGATTGTTATTCACAAGCTTGCTCCATTCTGCCTTTTTCAGCACCTCAGCCAAGGAGATTCCGTCTCTTTTAATCACTTCTTTTTAATACTTGAAGCCCTCATATCCCCAGTCATCCATACATAATGAGAGAGATTCTGTTGGCGGTAGGGCCCTTCATCACAACCCCAGCTGAACTTGTCAAAGCACCTTTTTCTGTGATGTCTTTTCTGTATTTTATGTTTATTTTTTGTGGTGGTGTGGTACTCATCTGTGGTCCTAACTCTGAAGGCAACCTTGCATGCCTTCTTTTTGGACAGTTAAATTAACAAAAGCTCTCAAACTTTTTCAGTCAGCCAACAGAGATGTGCCATCACTTTTTTGGTTCTTTTAAGTTTATATTTTAACTAAAACATCATGAAAAACATAATTTATTCTCTGCTCCTTTAATTTGACTGAAACATTGAGCCACTCTGTAATGTGGGTTCTGTCTGTATTAAAGAAAAGGTATTTTACAGGACCAGTTTGGATTTGTGTTGGTTTTATAAATAGCTATATCATGAATTAACAGTATAACAAATGTGAACTTAAAAATGTGAATTCTTGTCCCTTTTCTTGTTGATTGTTGTACTTGAACAAATCATGAGGGTGTTTCAACAAACTGAAAGATAGTTTAGTTCAGTCAATTACTGTTTTCATTTGACCTGTAACTTTAACTGACCTCACTTTAAATGAAGAGGTTTGTTTTTCCACTGAGCTTTTGTCAGTATTCCTAACCACTTATCAAATTAAGTGATATTAATATTTATAATGAAATGGATAACTATTCTTATCAGTGATGCACACTACATTAGCGGATATAGAGGTTTTATACAGTAGCCCAGATGGAGGTTACAAATTGCCTTTGCCCTCAGGGCCACCAGCAGGGCACCTTTCAAAGTGCTTTCATTCTCCACTATTGGGTTTGTTCACTCCACAGCTGGACCTGCACAATAGAGTCTGATACAAACTGTTGTATGTCAGCCCACCAGGATACTCCTCACTCAAGAGGACAGGTCACATCCGCTCATTGAAAAAGTCAAACTCCAGAGAAGTTAGGACTGTTTTGGAGACACATCTTTGGGTTGTACTTTTATAAACTATGCCAAGCCACTGCACACTGACTCCTGTTATTCTAATAGAGCTCTTCTTGTTTGTGAGTGTCGGTGGTGAGAGCATGACTGGCTGTCGAGATCAGTATAAATGTTAATGCATCATTTTCACTGATTTTTTATTTTTCTGCTGCTGTTTGAGTGCCCATTTTCAGAAAACAAAATGTATGTTCAACATATGAATGAAGGATACTTGCATTGTGGAATATTGCACTGAAACTGTTGTGTGATAAAGACTGTATGTTTTTGTTTTTTACTTTTGGACTTGTTTTAAGTTTTGGTTTGTTCGAAACACTGTGTTTTTAGCGCTTCTCTTTGGCTATGTAAATATGAAAACATCAAGTATGCTGTAAATAAAATGCAAATGTAGATAACTCTTAGAGCTACATCGGTGACCCTGTGTAGTCTTAAGGTAGAAAAAATAAAGGGACTATTTTGTGTTTACCTGTGGTTCTCTCTGTTGATATAAAACCTCACTTCATAAATTATTCATAATGTAAAAGCAAAATTCCATATTGCGCAAAAAAGGAAGCAGGGGAATAGAATTGTGAAATTGTCCTTACATTTTTATTACCCTCAAATATAAATGTGGACAAACAACAACAATTCTATAGGACTGTTATCAAGGACAGTAACTCTAGGGGATCTGTCGTATTACTTTTTGTGGTATTGAGTTAAGATCAATAGAGCTGACCCTGAATTTTAGTGGCTGACTTCCATAGTCACTCCACTTGCTGCTGTTCATATGGAGTAACTGCAGTAATCTACGTATTTTCCAATAATAAATCCTGTTCTGTACAGTATATAGAAGCGTAGCAAGAGTGACTTTAAATGAACCTGTCAGAGTTTGGGGCAGACCTTTGATGCTCCAGAGGCACCAAGAGACTGTTTTGGGCCTGATTAGTGTGTGAGAACAAGTGGAGCTCAGGGGCTAATCCTGTTAGCATTTAGCCCAATAGAGACACATAACAGGAGCCCTGTGCCAGAGGAACAAGGGAGAGTCAGCACTGTAGCCCCATATTCACTGCAATATACACTGTTAAAAGGCCCTATGTTATTATTCTTTTTACTCTTCTCTTATTTACTCCTGTTAGAATGTTGTTACCACTTCAAAACTTTTGTTTTGCTTCATTGGCACGTTTGAATGATGCATCATTATTAGTCTGTAGATATCTCCAAAGTTCAAAATGCTTTGTTCCACCTTGTAATGTCATGAAATTGTATTATTTATTTATTTATTTATTTATTATTAGACATGGGCCTAAGTGATCCAATTGATTCAAATCAAATCAAACTTTATTTATAAAGCGCTTTTCATACAAAAATAGTGCAGGCGTCAAGTTTAAAAACACAGCAGAACACGTATTACCATATGACATCACAAGGTGGAACAGAGTGCTTTCTGTTTTAGAGAAGAACTCTGCCTAAATATGCAGGGTTTGTGTGCTAAAGATGTTTGAATGAAACAAAACACGACTCTGTGTATGATGACGGAACATAACAGATAATCAAATAGAGAGATGTAGGCACTTTAAACTCAACAAGTTCTCACAACTCGATGAAATAATCTAAACCAATTACTACTACAAAAACAAATAAATAAACAATTTCTGCAAGTTATCCCAAAACTACTGTAAAGCTTTTTTCATGTATTTAGTAATTACATCATGTAGCTTGTTATTTTGTATTTTGTTCAGTGTAATAAGCAATACTCATCTAAAACAGCCTAATAATATAAATTGCTTCATTGGCTTTCTGTGGCAGTTCACTGTAGCACGCAGCAGATTTGATTGAAAGAAAATAGGTTTTTTTCCCATTCTCAAAATGAACTTCTCGATTTTTTTACTTTTTCTACCACTCCTGGATGAATGAGGGTTTACCTAACTGGTAATTAGATTTAGATTATTAGATTTTTAGAGCCTATTCCAAATCTAGTCAAATTAAATCTGTCTCAGTCTGGTAAACTTTTAATTATGTTTCATATATTTAATTTAACTGAACTATACAGTACAATAAGATCCATATTTGATAGTGCAGAGATTATGTTTTTGCAATTATAACATTAATATTTTCCAACCATTTACACATCTTGCAGAATGAACTGTTCCATATGCACCTTTATGTTTGCTTTTAGTAGGCCGTCGGCAGAAAATTTGCGCAAAGTAAATGTCAAGTCTGGCAGTGTAACGTGTGAGCACTGGAGCTGTCTCTCTCCATAAAGAGGATCTCTCCTTCTCCTGGAACAGAGCGTCCTCCGGCTTCACACATGAGATCTGCAGCCGAGAGCCACGCTGTCCTTCAGATGGAGTACTATATAATATGGAATTACAATGACAATAGGCTTGCCTCTGAGTCCTGTGAACAACATGTACTTCAGTGCAGTGATGGTGAGGTAATATCACTCAGCACACAGCAGTACAGCCAACTCTACCCAAGCCTCTATATTAGTGTTTCCCAAACAGGGGTGAGGGGACTCCTGGGGGTACACAAGCAACAGCAAGGCAGTATTGAGAATGATGTCAAAAGAAGGTGAAATTGAATATCTTATAAATATAAAATGTATTCTTTGTAGTACATTTTACATCCTTGGAAATGTTTTTAGTTGTTAAATGTCCTATATTGACAAAATTGACTTAAGTAAGATTTAAACCCAGAGATGTGTTTTGTTTCATTCATACATGTTTAAGTAATCCTGCATTATTATTATTATTATTATTAGTAGTAGTAGTAGTAGTAGAAAAAGTAGTAGTAGAAGAAGTAGTAGTAGTAGCAGTAGTAGTAGTAGTAGTAGTAGTAGTAGTTGTTGTTGTAGTAGTAGTAGTAGCAGTAGTAGTAGAAGTAGAAGTAGTAGTAGTAGTAGTAGTAGTAGTAGTAGTAGTAGTAGTAGTAGTAGTAGTAGTAGTAGTAGTAGTAGTAGTAGTAGTAGTAGTAGTAGTAGTAGTAGTAGTAGTAGTAGTAGTAGTAGTAGTAGTAGTAGTAGTAGTAGTAGTAGTAGTAGTAGTAGTAGTAGTAGTAGTAGTAGTAGTAGTAGTAGTAGTGCAGTAGTAGTAGTAGTAGTAGTAGTAGTAGTAGTAGTAGTAGTAGTAGTAGTAGTAGTAGTAGTAGTAGTAGTAGTAGTAGTAGTAGTAGTAGTAGTAGTAGTAGTAGTAGTAGTAGTAGTAGTAGTAGTAGTAGTAGTAGTAGTAGTAGTAGTAGTAGTAGTAGTAGTAGTTAGTAGTAGTAGTTAGTAGTAGTAGTAGTAGTAGTAGTAGTAGTAGTAGTAGTAGTAGTAGTAGTAGTAGTAGTAGTAGTAGTAGTAGTAGTAGTAGTAGTAGTAGTAGTTGTTGTAGTAGTAGTTGTAGTTGTAGTAGTAGTAGTAGTAGTAGTAGTAGTCTTACATTTCAAAAGATCAAAATGCTCTGTTCCATCTTGTGATGTCATGGAGTGGTAGTTTTCAAATCAACGGCTACCTTTAATTCAGTAGAGATTAGTGATCCTAAATTATCCAAATGATTCTAGTGAAGATGTATGAAGTTTAAAAACACAGCAGAGAA